CAACTGAGCTTCAGGGCAACCTGAGCCCATGGCCCTTCGCGCAATGGGGAGTGGACCTCCTGGGTCCCTTTCCGACGGCAAAAGGGAAGCGCAAATACATAATCGTGGCAGTGGACTACTTCACCAAATGGATGGAAGCGAAAGCACTCGCCTCGATAACAGCGCAACAGGTAACGCGCTTCCTGAAAAATAATATCTTGGCGCGCTTCGGGGTCCCGAATGCGCTCATCTTCGACCACGGGAAACAGTTCGATTGCGCGGAGGTGATAGACTTCTGCGATCAAGTAGGGACAATTGCAAGGTTTGCGTCAGTAGCTTATCCCCAAGCCAATGGTCAAGCGGAATCGGCCAACAAAGCAATCTTGTACGGTTTACACACCCGCCTAGACGAAGCCAAGGGCAATTGGGCCGACGAACTCAACACAGTGTTATGGGCACACCGTACCACGTACAAAGTGGCGACAGGAGAAACGCCTTTCGCGCTCACGTACGACACTGACGCGGTGATTCTCATCGAGACAACAACCCCGACCTATCGGATCACAATGTACAACGAGGAGACCAATGAAGAGGCGCGCCTGTTACACTTGGAATTGGCACAGGAGAGACGAGAGTTAGCGTCCATCAAGCTTGTGGCAACAAAGGAACAGGTAGCTAAGTACTACAACGCGAAGCTGGTTCCACACAAGCTCAACCTCGAAGACCAAGTACTACGGCAAAACTTCTGCCCCAACCCCAAACACGGGAAACTCGCTTCAACATGGGAGGGTCCATACCTAATCCGCGAGGTGGTCGGCTCCAACACTTTCAAGCTCACCGAATTGGGGGGCACCAAAATTCCAAGAACTTGGAATGCGCAGAACCTCAGGAAGTACTACAGTCCAGTTTAACATGTATTCGGTCACGGTGGCACGTTTGCGTGGTTGAATAAAAACAAAGTTCGACAGAACATGAGTAGCAATAATCATTAATTATTCGCGCTCACACAATCGAACAAGAAACGCCGATCGAGAATCGCGCGTATAGTTCACAAAATAGCAATAATCATGATTTATTCGCGCCCACAATCGAACAAGAAACGCCGATCAAGAATAGCGCGTATAGTTCCACAATAGCAATAATCATGAATTATTCGCGCCCACACAATCGAACAAGAAATGCCGATCGAGAATCGCGCGTATAGTTCACGAAATAGCAATAATCATGAATTATTCGCGCCCGCACAATCGAACATTAAACGCTGATGATAATCGCGCATAAAGTTCACAAAATAGAGATGTTCATGAATTATTCGTGCACACGTGTACTTGGCAGTAACCACGAGTTATTTGCGCCTCGCACTTCGAGAAACAAACCATGAAAAACGCAGAGAAAGAAGAACTTTTGGATTCCATTAATGGGAGCAATACACTTATCGCGCGCTAAAACAACAAAGATTACAATTAATCCAGCAGCGCGTTGTCCGCGGCGGCGTCTTTAGTCTCTTCGCTCGCCACCGTGACAGGTTCCCCATCCTTCACCGCCCCAGATCCCCCATCCTCAACGTGGTCATCGGTGCGCGCGTATCCTCGGCACCCGTTTCATCCTCCTCTTCCTCGGACTCATCCTCCGATTCGGAGTCGAAGTCTAGTGGCTTCTTCTCGCGCAACCACATCTGCACGTGTTGAACCACTTCGCGAGTTCTCCAACGAACCCCCGGGTTCTCGGGTCGCACCTTCTTGCCGACCACGATCACGACCTTGGTCATCGGGTCCGTCAAGTTTTTCCCGAAGGAGGAGGAAGACTTGTATTGACGCACGGCAGCAACCTGCGCCTCACGAACAGCTTCCGTTTTCTCCCGCTGAAATTCTTCGCGGGCCTGCTTCAGCTTCTCTTCGTGGCCCAATTCTAGCTGCGCCTTTTCTTGCGCCCACTCATCAGCCAACCGCTTCTTTTCCTCCTCGAACTCGCCGTACAGTTCTGCCCGAACCCGCTCCGTCACCGCTTGTACATCCTCCGCCAGCTTACTCTGCAAAATCCCAAGCTCCTCCAAGGCCTCATTTGCCTTGCTCGTCGCCACCTCTGCGCGCCTTTCCGCCCCAGCGAGCTTCCCCTCCAGCTGTACAATCATTGCCTTCTCAGACTTCGCCTTCGCGCGCCCACGAGCACGCTCTTGTTGAGCGCGGAAGGCCGACATCAGACCCTACATCCAATACGCCAAAAGACACATCAAAATTCAATAAAATGGACAAGGCAAAGTGCGAGGAGCTGAACAAACTTACCGCGAAGTGGACCTGGGCGAGATCCTGCAAGGGATCTGATTTCTCCAGCCGCGGAGGGACGCTGAGTATCGGCCCAAGAGCGCGGATGGAAAGACAATCACTCGTCTCTGTGGGCCCCTTTATTTTATAAATCTTCCGGAAGAGACCATAAGTGGGTTGAATACTCAACCTCTTACAGACCAACCGGAGACAAGACGCGTGCATAACCACAGAAGGAGATATGCGCGCAATAGAACAACCCAGGTGCCTGTAGAGGGCGCACAACAATGGGTCAACAGGGAACTTGAAACCCATCCTCCAGTACTCGGAATACACGCCGAACCACCCTAGGGGGCAGTTCCCGATTCGGCTACGCGCGGATGGAACGGCGTACTGCCAATTGGGGCGCAACCCCAACCCGCGCACCAGTTCCGAAACCTCCCGCCGCCCATACACTGACACATGGAACTTGCCCCACATCAAACATTTCCTCCCATTCCAAGATTGTATACGCGGTCCCCACTCCGTGGCCCCCACTCCGCGCATGCCGAGACGACTCATTGCCTCAGTCACACGAGACACACAGAGCGGCTCGGATGAAGTCTCCGACGTCCCGGCGGCATCAAGCGGAGCGGCACCGGACCCGCTAGCGCGATCGCGACTGATTATCAACACCCCCCGCGACTGCAGCGTGCTAGTCTCACCACCCTCACAATTCACCAGATCCCGTCCAGAATCAACATCGTACGAAGGCGTCGCTGGAGCACCTCCGTCGCCGCCATTATTGTCGGACTCGACCAGATCCAGAGACGGATCGGAAGAAACATGAGAGAAAGGAGAAAGATTATTTTCTTCGTCTGGTACGACCAAGATCTCGTTGTTCACATCGGCGTTGGCCATTGTGTCTCTAAGAAGAAATCACGAACGATTTAGAGATATAAGGTCGTCGGAGAAGAAGAAGAATCTCGTCGGCAGAGAGAAACAATGGAAGAGAAAGTAGAAGTGGTGGAGGAGAATTACTCTTCTTCGATAAAAAAGAGGTATTTATAACCCACAAAGGGGTAATCGAAGGGTTAAAGGTGCATCGAGAATCGGAAACGTCAGGAATTTTTGAAATTCAAAAAGTAACCGCCCAAGGAGCGTCACGTCAGCACCTATAGACACTAGGGCTAGGTGCTAGGAACTAGGGGCTAGGCGGTGACGTCACAGGGTACGCACACCGCCTAGGGGGCATAGTACACCCGCGGAAAACAAAACAAAAAAAGAGAAGAGAAGAAGAAGACACCAAACAAAAAGATACACTCGCGGAACCCAAAAAATGGTCACGCAGGGCGCACGCGCGGAACCCAAAGGACGCACACAACAAATAAAAGCGACGGCGCGCATGACTAGCTGGAGCGCAAGAAGGAGGGCGGAGACAGCGAAGTGACTAATCGCGCATGGCTTACTTGCGGAGAAGTGTGAAGCGCGAGGAACCGAGCTCGCCGCGCGGAGCCTAACAGGCGGCATTCACAGAATACCCCCTGATGGGGGGGGGGGGGGGTAATTGTTGGGGATATAGCTCGGATCCAATCGCGCGAGTAAGACGGCCGAGCGAACTTCCCGCAAGTAAAGACACGACCGCGAATGATTGAAGCTTCAGGCGGCGCCGTTGTGATCCTGCCCAAGCCGACGTCGTTTCACTTCACCAAAACCAGCGCCGTTTTGATCCTGCCCAAGCCGGTGTCGTTTCGGTCAATCCAAACTAGGGAAAGAGAACCGGGAAAACGGTGTCGCAGCCTACGAAGGAAGGGTCACGTCCTAGGTCAGGTCCTAGGAATGATTATGACCTAAAGCATGGCCTAAGTTTCTGACACGCGTAATGGTCTTGTCGCATTAAATATCCACTACTGTAATGTACTATAAAAGGGGCATTTACTACGGCAGGTAAGGGGATCGGATTTTTGACTTTCACTAATACACATCCGCTTCTCTCACTAGAAAACTTCTTTCTCTTGTTCCTTCATTCTCAAAGCTTCCAGCCATTGACAGATTGGATATTCACCTTGCTTGCTCTTCTCTTCCCTCTTCCCCGAGTCTCACTCCTACTCTCAGTTAGGCTCAAACAACTACTAACCCCCATTAACTACCTAATCCACTATCAGCCAATAGGAAGGCTTTAAGATTTTCCTTAAGAAATGAGGCTTAAGGACTTGAATTCAAGTCGTTGCGCACTCTGGGTTTAATATGTGATTTGTAGGTAGGAGAAGTAATAGGGTAGCTCATTTGGTGGCTCGAAAGACCCTTTTTTTTACCCGATTACATGTCGTTTCTTTGATTTTTGGCCTGGTTAACTTCCAGATTGTATTAATCTATTATTTCAATCAATATAAATGATTATCTTTTGTAAAAAAAAAAGGGTTATTTATTAGTGAATACATTACGGTGCCCAATATCAAAATCATAGTTTATCATTTATCGAAGAATACAGTGAAAAATCTTTTAAGCGGAGAAATTTTTTAAGCGGAATGAAATTGGAGAGAAAAACTTTAAAGATTTTTATAAGTCTTATATGATAAAAATGGTAAAAAAAAGTCGATTGACACAACAAAGTTTCAAATATTTGTAACCTCCGTGGGACAACCAATTTCACCTCACACAACTTCTCCACATGAGGTTTGGCATTCCCACTCTGCATATTTTCTGTGCCCTGTCTTCTTGGGGGTCCATGTAGCTGGCACAACGTGGGGTGAGGGTGAAACATCAGATCAGCAATGGAATGATCATACACGTTTTTTCTTGGGCACAAGATGAATGATGCAAGTTGAAGCAAAGGAGCAAGGCCCCATGGCATGGGTTTTTAAGCAATTTACTGACCCATCTAACCGGAATACAGAGTTGAAGGTGCAGTGCAGCTCAGTTTTCTCAAAGTTCAGGCATGCTAGAAGGATTAACAACCCAACAGGCCATTGGTAGCCAGAAGAAGTTCAACAGAATAAATAAAGAAAAAGGACAATCAAAGGTGACGAAATCAACAAAAGAAGACAAGAACACGATGATTAACGTGATATCCTCATTCGAATCGAATGAGATTAGTCCATACAGTATAATTTCATGAAACGAGACGAGACCATCTATTCACATATTCCAATAGAACCAAGACCACTGGTAATCAAAACACGTATGATCCAAATCAACCTCCCCACCAGCTAAAACATTAAGGCAGATAACAACAAGCAAGCTGTACAGTCTGCTGGTGAGACGAACCCAGAAGGAAGGACAGTTACAGGAAATCACTTCAATGCCGTCGGGTATCATTGAGCAGAGAGCGGTGCTTGCTGAACTCCTTTATGCTCATGGAGAAGGCAGAGGGGTTGGAACGGGGTGAATCTGGTAACCGTCGGTGTGGTGACTGATGGCGGAAGGAGGAGTCTGTTGAGAGGAGCCCGAGCTAGGCGACGGTGGAGCTGTTCGCCATTGCGTCCTTTTGCTGGTAGCTGAGGAACAAAGGAGCAGGCAGAAGACAGGAGCGCCATTCAGAACCTTTCTTTTCACGTATAAGGGATTAATATTTTCAGGTGATCAATCAGGAGGAAGATATATATATAGTTACGTCTTCGGGACACTCATTTTTTTGGATGCATTCAATGCACTCACTTCATAATTGTCATTCTGAACAGGCGGTTCATGTCAAGACAATGTTAATCATCACGTATGATACGATGAACAAGAAACCCCATGAATTAGCACAAAAATTATTCCAAATTTACGTTAATTTGATGGAATTATGGTTTATGGATTTAGGGTTAGGGTTACGGTTCATGATTTGGGGTTTAGGACAAAAGTTCAAAATTGAAGGTTTAGCACTTAGGGTAATGCATTGATTAGTTGTGATCTTATGTTATAGCATCATATTACACTAATCTTGCCAATCAAAATAAAAAATTGATGTCTTAAGGCTACTTTTAGAGTTGGGTGCATTGAATGCACTCATTTTTGTGAGTGCACCGAAGTAGTCACCATATATATATATATGGTGGTGTATTCTGTGCACCCACTTTTTTCGGGTGCACTCAGTACACCCGCCTCATAATTGTCATTCTGACCATGCGATTCATGTCAAAATGGTATCAATTGTTGCTTATGATATTATGGACAAGAAGCACATGAATTTGGAAAAAAAATATTCAAATTTTACTTTAATTTGAAGGATTTAGGATCTAGGAATTTAGGGTTAGGGTTTAAGTTTACAATTTGGGATTTTGGGTTGGGATTCAAAATTGAAGGTTAAGGGGTTAGGGTAATAGATTGATTTGTTATGATTCTATGTCATATCATCATATTAGATTGAGAGTACTAATTGAAGTTCAAAATTTGATGTACTATGATCATCATAACAAATCAATCTAATATGATGATATGACATAGAATCATAACAAATCAATCTATATATATAGTGACTACTTCGGTGCACTCACAAAAATGAGTGCGTTCAATGCACCTAACTCAAAAACTAGTCTTAAGGTGTCGGATTTTGAATTTTAATTTGTAGAATTAGTGTAATATGATGATATAACATATGATAACAACTAATTAGTGGATTACCCTAAGCCCAAGACCTCCAATTTTGAGTTCTATCCCTGAATCCCAAATTATAAACCCTAACCCTAACCCTAAATCTCTAACGTCTAAATCCTTCAAATTAAAGTAAATCTTTAATGGTTTTGTTGCAAATTCACATGCGTTATTGGTCATCACATCATAAGTGATGATTGACATCATTTTGACATAAATCACAGTTTAAAATGATGGTTATGAAGCGAGTGCACTGAATGCACCCAAAAAAGTGAGTGCACCGAATACGCCACCATATATATATATATATGGTGACTACTTCGGTGCACTCACAAAAATGAGTGCGTTCAATGCACCCAACTCAAAAACTAGACTTAAGGTGTCGAATTTTGAATTTTAATTTGTAGAATTAGTGTAATATGATGATATAACATATGACAACAACTAATTAGCCGATTACCCTAAGCTCTAGACCTTCAATTTTGATTTCTATCCCTAAACCCCAAATTGTAAACCCTAACCCTAACCCTAAATCTCTAAACTACAAATCATTCAAATTAAAGTAAATCTTTAATGGTTTTTGTGCAAAATCATGTGCGTTATTGTTCATCACATCATAAGTGTGATTGACATCATTTTGACATAAATTGCATGTTCAAAATGACGGTTATGAAGTGAGTGCACTGAATGCACCCAAAAAAGTGAGTGCACCGAAGACGCCACCATATATATATATATATATATATATATATATATATATATATATATATATGGGGAGTTATACGATACCCAGGGTGAATTTCGGGGTACCGCATACCTTGAGTAAGAAAACGCTATCCAGAACTTGAATTGACTGATCTTTCGGACACGATACTACACTCTAACCCTTAAAGATCAAAATCTAGGTATTAATTCTCTAAATCTTATACCCCAAGATCACTTTAATTAGAAACAATAATTGACGGTTATGATTCGTCCAAATATAGGCAAAAAAATCAATGCACCATCTTAGGGTATTAGTTTATGATTTAGATAATTAGAAGCTAGGGTTCACTCATTAAGGGTTAGGGGTATAATATCATGCCCAAAAATCCTGCTAATTCGAGGTTTAGATAGCTTTTTCATACGCAAGGTATGCGGTACCCCGAATTTCACCCGAGGTAACGTAGAAAGCACCATATATATAACATGACACATGAGTGACTTGATAAAAGTAGCTAGCTAGTTGAACTTTCGATCCTTTAAATACCTTTGAAGTACTTGCACTGGCCAGTGCGCAACTTATCATATAATCCTATGACGTTGTGTGGAGATCGATCATTGTCTTCTTCTTCTTCATCTTCATATGTCAAAACTCTGTCGTCGTAAATCGGAATCACCCGACAATTCTTCGTCAATTCGGGTATTTTGCCCGGCCAATACAAGCTACGAAACAAGAATTCAACTGTGCCGCCAGGATGATCAGCCTCTTTGTCAGCGAATTGTTGTATCATCCTCATTTTATCCAAGTCGTTAGTGAACCATACCCAAATGTGACCATTTGGGAGATGCTCCTCCTCATCCTCATGATCCTCGTATGATGGACAACATGTCAAATTGCATGAGCTCACAGCAACTTCGACACCATTGTTGAGCAACACGCAGTCAACTTGACACTCTAAGTAATCAGCAAGGGGTCGGTAGTCGAGTAAAGCACATAAAATTAGCGCCTTGAGCTTCCAAGGTTGTCCACGTAACTGTGCTGTCGCCATTGCATTATTATTATCATCGTTGTTAGTGTTACATCCCATTATGCTTCCTCCTTCACCAGCACTCTTGATATCCCATTTCCCCGGGAGTCTGAGGCGTGACGGTCTGATACATGGGAAGCCGGAGTTTCGAATCCAATCCTGAGTGAACTGCATCAGCAATACAACCATTAATCATTGATAGTAATCCGGTTGTTAGGGAGAGAGTGAGCGAGAGATCGACGTACATACCTTGTCCACAAGCTTACTGCACACTACCGGATCCAGCTTCCAGCACTGGCTAAAGTCCCATCTGCTTATCTTGGATAAATCATGATTCTCAAGAATATTGTCAATCGACAAGGTTTGAAGTGATGTGCAATCACTTGCATCCAAATCTGTCAAGGATGAAGGAAGGCCTGGTAAACGAATCAATTGATGGCAATGGCGCAAGTTGAGGGTTTGTAAATTGGATAGCTTGTGGATGGTGTTGGGAAGGCTTTCTAGACTTGTGCAACCGGAGAAGTTCAATTGAGTTAGCGGAGTGAGATCTCCCATGGAGGAGGAGGATGGAACTGCCGCCAACTCCATGTAGTCAACGAAGCCCAGTTCCAAAATAGGCGATGAGCATGACGTGGAACTAGAATAAACAGAATCAAGACCAGTGTTCTGTTCTGGACATTCCAAGTAATTCAACTGTAGGCTCCTGCAACCAGTCACATCGAGCCATTCCAATTTGGGAAGATCCCAAATCGATTTGGGAAGCTCGGCTAAACTCTCACAGCCAAAAAGCTCGATTCTTTCGAGCCTTCTAGCTGTTGAGAGATTAGGCAGCTTTCTCAAGTTCCGGCATAGGCAAAGATAAAGGTACTTCAAATTCCCCAAATCCTGCAGGTAGATCGAAAGGGAACTTAGAGGGAGATGAAATGCAAATACTTGGTCATTGTGTTTTTTTTTTCTTCCCAATATGCAGGCAGGGTTGAGAAACACACGTACCATAAGTTCATCACCTTCCCAAACCTGCTCGATCTTGCTATATTTCAGATTAAGTATGACCAGATGTTCAGCAGAGAATTGGGATGGCAAAGACTTCGAAGAGAATGAGTGCCATTCAAGAACCTTCAAAGTATTTGGCAGGGATATCAAGCCGTCATCTGGCGGAATCAAATTGCAGAAACCAAGATGAACTACAAGGAATCGCAGATTTTCCATTTTCACAAAAGCGTCAGACTGTATGTATGTCTTTGTCTCAGGTGGCATGTATCCCTCGTCACCTCCAAAAACCCATGAGATGCCTTCAATTGATGCAGTACCCTGTTTAGTGGAAAGCGGAAACAATAACAAACTACTTTACTTGGCTCGCACGCTGCTTCAATAGCTTTTTTAACTTGAAAACACATTCAAAATTAAAGACTCGTACCTTTTTTTTCTTGAAGAGGTAGTATTCGTCTTTTGCATTCCACAACCTCGAACGTTTTTCAATGTGGCGCTCTTCATTGACAATTCTGCGGCCAAAGTCTTTTAGCAAAGCATTCATTACTATTGTGTCAGCAAAACTCATATCAATACTTATAAGCGCCTTGTCGACAAGGTTAGGAATGATGTTGCCAGTGCCACCTGGTGACAACATTTCCACACATTCCTTCAATTCCATACGGTACCAGTAATTGTAAAAGCATGCAATATCAAGAAATACATCTTTTTCTACTCGACTCAATCCAACGTAACTCCTTCTCAAGATGTTCTCAACCACTGGATCTGGATTGCCGTGCAAAGCCTTCAGCTCCCGATCCCAAAACTGGAGATCACGACCATGTAAGTGTGCGCCCAACACAGTAATCGCTAGTGGATTCCCACTTGCGTAATGTGCAGCTGCCAAGGCCATCTCCATGTATTCAGATTGGGGACTGTTATCGCTTCTGAAAGCATGCAAGCAGAAGAGTTGAAAGGCTTCTCCATCGTTTAAAGGCTCGACTTCATATACATGATGGCACACACTCTTCAGAAGCTGTTTATTCCTGCTTGTCATGATGATCTTACTCCCAGGACCAAACAAATCGCAGTACTGACCATTTAACAGATCCTTCAATGGTCCTATGTTGCCCACATCGTTGCCTATATCATCGATCACGACCAGAACCTTCATTCGGCCAAGACGATGAAGCGTCAACTCGTAGGATAATGCTGATCTGCCACCACTCTCATCACCCAACAGTTTTGAGAAAAAGTCACTTTGCAGATCTCTGCGAAGTTGTGATGCATCTGCAAAATTACTGAAGAAGTAGGAAGCCTCAAATTGACAAGAGAACACATCGAATATGGCCTTAGCAAGAGCGGTCTTGCCAATGCCGGCCATTCCCCACAATCCTATCGTCCGATTGCTCATCTCAGCAAAGCACAACAGCCGCTGAACTTGTTTCATTTTTATCTCTAACCCGACTAAACCTCTGCTGACAGAATATGATGAAAGCTTCACCATCTCACTGCTGCTGCGTATTGCCTGGAAGACATTTTTGGTGACTTCCTCTATGAGTTCAGTTTCTCGTCTGGCCGAGCAAGATCGATAGATGCACGACACAATAAGATTTGTTGATTAAATTCCACAACCACAAGTGACCAAACTGGGTGTGAATGATCAACATGAATGAGTGGATCCACTGATAAGGTCCACATAGATAGATAACAGCAAATCGATGAATAAAGCAGAACCAACAAGCCAAACATTGTGAAGTACTTCATAACACAAAAAGTGTAACTTGAACGATGGTGGGCTGTGTGGAATATACCTGATGACCTGAGAGTCGAATCCAGAGAGGCTGGCTATCTCACGCAATGCATCTCTCCAGCTTTGAACATTCGCCGCGGCGGCGATGGTAGTAGTAGAGGGCAATTTTTGCTTCTCGACATCCGAAGGATGAACGCCGTAGAACACAGGTATAGCCCTCCGACCGTACAACTTCCTACACCGGAGAATCTTCTTGAGCTCCTCCAAGCACCATGGAGAACCCGCATAGTTGGGGGAGAGAATCACTATATAAACCACTGATCTCTCGATTGCTAGCAAGATATCCGGCGAGATATGCCGCCCTCTTTCCAGATCAGCGTCGTCACTGTAGACAGCGAGTTTCTTTAAGCAGTTGAGGTGATAGTACAGGTGGCTGTGGAAGGAGTTTCGAACATCGACTCCTCTGAAGCTGATGAAGACGTCGTATTTGCTTGATCGCAGACCAGAATCGCTGCTGCTACTGTCTCTGAAAAGAATCAACTCCGAAGAAGAAGAAGAAGATGAAGAAGCGGGCGTGAAGAGAAGGGGGCGGATGACTTTGCGGCTGAGCCAATTACCAAATTTGGTGGGAAGAATAAGATGATCATTAGCATTGACGAGAGTCAGAGCAAGCTCTTCTTCCTCAACCACGACGTAGTCCCCGTCGTCGTCGAGTTGACAGTGTTGATCGCTACCATCAATCTTCATATGAACCAGACTAGGAAAGAACTATCACTTCTGACTTCTGAGACGGAGCGGCTAAGTAGAAATGGGAGGCCAAGTCAACAGCTTACTGAAACAGAGCAACTCTGTAACTCAGTATAAGTATAGGTGTATTAATATTTTGGGAATACTACACAACAAAGAATGATTTACTAGATGATGTTTCCGAGAAATCATTTGGGATGGGAGGGCATACTTTTCCTACTTTGATTTGAAGATAATCTTTTCCGGGAAAGATCGCCGGAGGCTAGGTGGCGAAAATTTTGTTTTTACTTTTTGTCTTTTCTTTATTGGCTTTTTTGGAAATTAGTTAGTAGTAATCTCAAAAGGTAACTGCGACCATCATTTTCGTTAATCTTCATGTGGCTCAATTTTCCCATACGAAACAGAGAATACAGATAGAGGAAGCCTAGTGCCTAGATATCAATTCTGAAACAGAGCAACTCCTCATCTTACGTGGCAGTCTAAGTGGCAATTTCATGCTTAGTTGTCCAGTATTGAAATTCAGAGCTCAACGTGCTCTATATAGCTGAATTCAGTGACCATATTGGTCATTAACCCTAGGGATGGCAATTTCGACCTGAATCGTTTTACCCAATTTGTTTGGCCTGTTTTGGGGCGGGCCGGGCATGGGTACTCTCATTAACCCGGCCTGTCCTGGCCCGCCCATTCTCGGCCCGTTCTTGCCTAAATTACATGTAATCTTAGTCAAATTACTTAGAATTTTTCTTTTATTACATCATAATTTAGCTATAATAAAATTGTAAATTAGTGAAAACCTCAATTACTCTAATAATTTAACTATATTTATCAAAATATTGTTTGTTTTCTTGGTCTTATAATAAAATAACGAATATTTCTAATGTTTTTCATATAAATTGCATACCCATTGGGTCAACCTGCTCCGACCTGGACCCGACCTGCCACGGGGCGGGTATGGGTACCAAGAAACCCGCCCCGGACCTGCTCCATAAGATGAATGATGCACGTTCCATGGGTACATAAGCAATTTATTGACCTGTTGTAGCAGAATACCAAATTGAAGGTGCCGCTCAGTTTTCTCAAAGATCAGGCATGCACTTCCCAGTTTTACAGTCGTAGGCCTTCTCCAGCACGAGATCCATCGGAGTGTCCTTCTGACCGGCTGTATTTGTATAGCAAAAGAAGCAAACTGAAGTTAGATAGGATCAAGGGTGTTGTTCACATGATCTAGCAAGACGAGTGAGTGAGAGACGCTTATGTTAGGTCTTGGCGTCGTCCTTATCTTCAATATCTCAGGACGTAGAATTATCGATTGAGATGCTCGTGACACTGACACTCTTACCTTGGTACCGTCCTCGAGATACTTGATTCCAACCTTGCAGGGTCTCCTGCAGAATGTTGAAATTGTTAGGCTAGGGAGAAACAAATGGCATGCAGTAAACTTTGTAGTAATGGGTAGACTGTATACCCTGTGAGTGGGTCAACAACTTGGACATTTGATGCATGAAGTGGAGCTTCAACTGTGAAGATTCCTCGTGACCTTCACCTGCTTTTATATGCTTCGTAACCTGCCAATAAAGGAGAAATTACCATGAAGACAGCCAAGTCTATATTATTTCACTTGACTTGCTCACCCAGTAGTTACAGTCGCATAGAGACCATGAACACAGATTTTTGAAAGAAGAGTACCAGAAGATAGCATAAAAAAGAAAAGTGAATTTTATAATTCCTTGCCAAGAAGCCGAGGGAAACTCAACCCTCTCTTTCCCTAGAGTACAATCTGGGCCTAAAGTTACACACTAACACACTACAAAGTGGGTCTTGCTTCCATATCTAGAAACATGAACACAAGCTGGAACAAATTGACACTATTGATAAGCTCAGGCACAGTTATCCGAAGTGTTCGCCTGAATTTATTTTGTTCAAACTAGCTGATAACTAATATCATCAACGAACTAGTGAGGCTTTTGGATAATAAATTTCAGATAAAAAACAAAGGCGATGAGAACTACAAACAGAGAGGTATATGCAAATATGGCTGCAACATGTACTCCCTCGAGATAGAGGACATGTAACCGAAGAACCAAAGGGTGTATTCCTCAGATAAAAAAAGTTCAGATATGAATATATAGATTGGACAACCCACACAAGTTAGGCACCACACTTGTAGATTATGATCCCTTCAAATCCATGATTCAGTTCATCATTAGTAAGACTTTCATACAGATCCAGCAGGAGATGGAAGCTTATATTCTTCACAGCTAATGTAATTGTAGCACCCTAGGAAAGAACAAGGCAGTGAAACACAGAAACCTTAGCTTCCTACCATATTTTTCCCCGACAATAACGCGATTTTGAGAGCGGGTTACACGTTTAATCAGACCAGACTCGCCCTTATCCTTGCCCCTAATAATCATGACCTGAAATGGATGAAGATGATAGGAAACATTATATCCATGCTTGGTAGTTGATCAAAATGGGTGAACAACAGATCCCACAAAGCATTCTCACATTATCTCCTCTGAGTACTTTCCAGTGTCTGATCAACTTTCCGGCTGCCTTCCAACCCATTTCAACTGGAAAAGAAAAAAATGATACCGACAAACAACCACTCTTCAGAAAAGATGATTTGCATGTTCGTTAACAATTGAGATCTTCCCAGACAAAAATGACATCAGATTCAGCAGAAACCGAGGCAAAAACTAAGTGCATCTCACAAGTTTTCAATCAAAGAAATTAGAGTGCGTTCTTTGTTAGAACATACCATCATTGCACCACTGAATTACACCGCATCCCCTTAGCAGTTTAACAATTTCTAGCATTCAGAACATATTACTCGGTTCAGAGAATATAGGGCATGTTTCGGTTAACTTAAATTCTCTCCAAGGACGGACCTTTTGGGCCACAAACCAAATTGACTCAAGCTACTAATCATTGATTCTGAATCCATGTTAGAGAAATCACATTCATGCACCAAGCTTTGTTAAAACAGGGAGGACGAATTGGTGTTCCTATCTTTGTCGAAATCAGACCCTTCTGATCCTGCAAGCAGCTGGTAGCTTCCCTTATAAAGAAAAACCTACTGGCTCGACTGCTCAAGGAAAACAAAAACCTCTCGACCAAATTTTGAGGTAGGTCTTCCATACATACCAAAAGGAAGAAGCCTGGCAGTTATCTTTCAACCGGAAGAAAGCCTCAAGCGAGAAACTGAGGATTGCCGCTGCTTCTTCTTCTCCGAGCTGCGGTTTCGAATTTTTGGTTGCGACTTGTGACTTGTGAGGCCACTTCAGTCATCAACATTCTTCGTGGCTATTTCTGTTATTAAATCCTCGAACTTTGGACTCTGTTCGTTCAATACTATTTAAGAAAATGATTTCTAAATCAGTCCCAAAACTTCTTCTTATGACAATTTAGTCCTTTTCTTGTGCTTGCTCAGAAAGACAAACCTTTTGGTTTTGCTACTTCCGTCCTCAAACTTCTTCGCGGCCACTTCTCTAATAACCCCGCCGTTGGATTCCTCTTCGTTCCCGGCTCGTATTCCTTCCTCTCCGCTCTCTCTCCCTCTCTCTCTCTCTCCGGCGACGATCTGATCTGGCTTCCGCCGGTTAGAAGAGAAACTATATACGGAAACTCACGGAGCTTGGCAACGAAGAAGTGGCTAGAGGATCTCGAGATATACTGTAAAGCTTCAGAAGCAACCTGTAGTTTTCTTAATCGAAGTGACGATCTGTCCAATTCCCTCGCACTTAGGGATCCTCTCTCAAGCTGCCTCGAATCGAGAATTCCCGGTGGAATTTGATAGATAAAGCAATGGCGAAAATTAGGGATAGGAACGAGGATTTCAAAGATGCCGTGAGGCACGCGGCCGTCTCCGCGGGATACGACGAGGTAAAATTTTGTTAGGGGCTTCTTCGGCAGGAATTACAGTTTCTCGTCAAATTCTGATTTCCCTCGTTCCGTCTCTTGTTTCTGGTGTTCCGCAGTCGAAATTGGCAGCAATTATGGCGTCTTTCATCATTCACAAGCCCAAGCAATCGTCGCCTTTCACCAGAGCTGCATTGAAAACGGTTATAGCTAGCTCCTTCATTGCCTTAACCCCCATTCTGGTTTTGTTTCCCTGAACCAAGCTTCTTCCCCATTATATATAACGATGGATTGGGTCTCTGTTGCTACTGTTTCCATGGTTTGATTAGTTGGAAAGCATTGGAGCTCTTGAACAGTTCATGTTGAAGCATAGGAAGGATTACATGGATATGCACCGAACCACTGAGCAGGAACGAGACAGCATCGAACAAGAGGTGAGCTATCATGACGAAGAACATCGAATGGCTTACTACACTGCAGCCTTTAGTTTGTTGGACTGCTGTTCTTACGCATTTCTCTTTTGTGCTTCAGGTTGCTGAGTTTGTCAAAGCATGCAAAGAACAAATTGACATACTTAAGAATAGCATAAGCAATGAAGACACGAATGCCAAAGGGTGGCTTGGTATTAGGGCTGACAGCTCCAATGCCGATACAATAGCACACAAGCATGGTGTGGTATGACCATTTTCTTTTCAAATTTGACATTGTTTAAGAGTTTCGAGCACTTCTTGGATGTCTGATTGTTGTAGCTTTTTGTATTCGTTCGTTGCAGGTTTTGATTTTGAGTGAGAAACTTCATGCTGTTACATCAGAATTTGATAAGTTAAGGGCGATACGTTTCCAAGATGCTATTAACAAAAGGATCCCGAGAAGAAAGCAAAAGCAGGTTGTAAATCCAAGCTCTACCGTTGCATCTGGAATACTAGATCAGCCGGAACTAAAAGAGACTGATGAAACTCGGTTGGAGCGTCCTAGACTTCAGCAACAATTGTTGGATGACGAAACTCGTGCACTTCAAGTGAGCAGCTCTTTCTTTGTTTTGGTAGAAGTTGCTCAGTTCCTTTTACGCAATAATGTGCCTTCATATTACAAATTCATTCTCTACAATGTCTGCATTCTTAAGCTGTCCCTTTTGTTCTTCTTTTGCAGGTGGAGTTGACTAATCTCTTAGATGCAGTTCAACAAACCGAAACCAAGATGGTGGAAATGTCTGCATTGAATCATCTCATGTCAACCCATGTTCTGCAGCAAGCACAACAGATAGAACATCTGTATGATCAGGTCAATACCTCTTCCTTTTTTCTTCTACCTGCTCTATCATTTGTCCATTCATGCCATATGCTATAATTGGACTCGATTGCTCCACATTGTATTGCTCTGAAATTCGGAACTGTTCCAACTATAATTGATTTTGTTGTTTGATAGAGTTTAACTGAATTTTGTGATATCCTCTCTCTTTGATTACTGTTTCATGTATTAGGCAGTTGAAGCTACGAAGAACGTCGAACTCGGAAACAAGGAGCTGTCACAAGCCATACAGAGGAATAGCAGCAGCAGGACATTTCTTGTGCTATTTCTATTTGTACTTACATTTTCAATCCTTTTTCTTGATTGGTACAGCTGAATGTAAGATAGGCCTTAGCTTGATCAGTTTATGCCAAATCCAAGAGTCCCTAGGGGCTAGAGGAGCCTGTGAAGATCGAGATCTTTGTTTTCTTGAACGATACTATACAATCGGTTCAGAATTACATGTAACAAAATTTATCTCCAGCACCAGCAGCAGCTCAAGCCGGCTTACTCATATATTATGATGTGTTTATGCATTGGAATACAAAAAGAACAGTTCAATTGAAGTCACTGTAACTAGAAACAGAGCTTGACGCTTCCCCATTGTCATGAAAATGATTGCCTTTCGATGTTCTCGTCTTCCCGGGAGGTGACTTCGTATAAAAGCTACAGAGCAGGGATGCATAGGTGAGCTCAGAACGAATGACCACAGTACTGGTGAGTCATATATGTCTCTTCAATCCTAGAGCATTTTGTTCTAAAGAGACGCGATTCAGATCGAGATTACTGAAATTTATTAACTCTGAAGAATAATATATTAAGGCAACAAAAACATATCAACCTTAATGCATTCTTCTGCATACAGACAGACAAAAAGACATTCCTCGCTGACAGTACAACCCAGAAACTTGCACACAGCTAACTGGGACCATTTCCCTTCCTACTTTTCCTGTAACCTTGTATCAAATAGGTGCTCCCTTCCTCCAATCCCTCCACCACATCTTCCCACAGAATTACAGATATCAATTGATAAGAGCATTAGCACACAGACACAGCCTGATCTTGCTCAATAAAATTAGCCAAGGCAATGAATTAAGCAACAGCAATGTAGATAAAGGGCATTACCTACCACCCTGATCTCCCTTTACTACTCTTTCCCTCCTGACGACGACATCTCGAACACCGACTGAACAGGGTACCTGTCGATACAATCGTCCCACGGATTAGTGACCGAGGGCTTGACATTCCTTGTGGCTTCCCAGACCGCGCTGTTGCACTTGAACCCACTCCCGAACGCAATCTGCCACACCCGGTTCCCCTTCCCCATCCTCCCCTTCGCCTCGGTGTACGCCAGCTCGTACCAGATCGAGCTGGACGATGTGTTCCCGAATCGGTGCAGTGTCATCCTCGACGCCTCCACGTGTTCGGGGAGAAGCTGCAGGTTCTTCTCGAGCTCATCTATCACTGCTCTTCCTCCAGCATGGATGCAGAAGTGATCGAATGCCAGCTTGAAATCGGGGATGTAAGGCTTCAACTTCTTCCCACTGAACAGTGTCTTCTTAGCGATGAGCGTCACGAAGAAAAGCAGCTGCTCGCTTATGGGGAGGACGAGGGGTCCTAGAGTCGTGATGTTCGTCTTGAGGGCCTCGCCTGCAATCGCCATGAGATCTTTCGAGAGAGAGACCCCGGTCTTCCCTGCATCATCCTGCTCCTGATACACACACTTGAACGCCTTGTCGTCGGCTCCCTTGTGTGTCCTGACCACATGAACAAGCTTGTACTTGGACCTTCTCCTGTCCTTGGACTTGTTCGATAACAAAATCGCAGCACCCCCTACTCTGAAGAGGCAATTGGGGATCAACATCGATTTCTTGTTCCCAAAGTACCAGTTCTGAGTAATATTCTCTGTGCTCACCACTACAGCATAAGTGTTCCTGTGAACTTGCAGCAAATCTTTAGCCAGACCCACTGAGATAACCCCAGCGCTGCATCCCATCCCACCTAGGTTATAGCTTAGAATGTTGCCTCTAAGCTTGTACTTGTTCACAATCATGGCGGAAAGGGAAGGAGTGGGATTAAACAAGCTGCAATTCACTACCAGGATGCCAATATCTTTGGGCTTAACGTTAGTGTTGGCAAAGAGATTGTCCAGAGCACCAAACATCACCTGTTCAGCTTCTTCCCTGGCCGCCTGCATCGACGGCCGAGGAGGGATGAAGTGCATAGCCTCAGGAACGTAGGTTTCCTCGCCGAGGCCGGACCTCTCTAAGATCTTGCGCTGGAACTCCAACGACGACTCGTCGAAGTCCCCCGTCAGCCGCGAATGCTCCATGAATTGGGTGTATTTGACCTGGAGCTCCGCCGAGGGCTTGTAGCAGGCGTAGTCGACGAGGAAAATGGATCTGGGTCGGGTCATGACGTAGACGGTGATCCCGAAGACGAGGAAAGTGGAGCAGACGATGACGCTGACGAGATTGTACTGGAGGTGGAGCCAGAGCTGGCGGATGTCGTCGGGGTTCAATTGGGTAGCTTCGATCACGATCACCGCCATCAATGGGATCAAACAGAGGGTCAGTAGATGGCTCACCAGGTAGTGGTAGCCCAGCTTCACATGCTTCAGATTCACGCTCTGTAGGAAATCAGGCAGCCGGGTCCTCGATTGGGGATGGATCTGGATCCCACCGACTCCACCGCCGCCGCCACCGACCGGCGTTGCGCTAGCGGTGGCGGATTCACCACTCATTGCTACTAAAGTACTAATCACACAGCCAAATCGAACTTTCGCCTTCTGGGTACTTCCGATATCAAAAAGCGAACCCACCCAATATGGATATATCGATTGAGAGGGAGACGATGAACAGTGGGTAATCGTGCACGGATCTGAAAAAACAGGAAACCGGCGAGAAATCTGAGGGAGGAAGAGAGGAAGAAGAAAGAAAACTTTGGCTGGGTATACAACTACTACAGCGAAGAGACTAACAGGAAGCTGACATAATTGAATACCCACGTAAATTTCTTATCCGTATATATAAGAAACTGAGAGGGAGCGGGTTTGGTTATAACTGGGAAGAACGGCGATGGTGATGGCGACAGGAACAGAAATAACAGAGTGACGAGTGGGGGAGGAAAGATGACAGATGAGAGATGGGGAAACGGCAGATTTGGGGGGTTTTAATTAGGGGTTTGTTTGGAATTATAGTTAAAAATACAAAAAAATTGAAAATTTGTGGGATGGAAAGTTTGGACCGGAATCGACATAGGAAAGGAGCGGATTCGAGAAGAAGAAGAGGCCGTCTCAGTCTCAGTTTGTGGCCGGACGCTTCGGCATATAATTTTATGAAATGACAGAAAATAAGCTTTGGCCAGAAGTCACCGTAAGTTTCAAGGCTTATACCATTTCGAGAAGAAAACTACGAGGACAAGGAAGAGTATGATCCAATTAATTAATCGCAAACTGAACTTTCAATCATGTTATGATGATAAGATTCACTACGAATTTTGTTGTTAACAATATGGTGCATGTAAAGTGAAATATTAAACGTAATGATTTCTTTCGATTCAACATTTTGTTTGGTAATGATTTTGTACTTTTAATCATTAGACTCATTTTTCAGTATTGGAATCATGGAGAGCAACTACATGCCATCAAAATTGGATCGGTAGCTCAGTCACCAGCGGCGGATCCAAAACACAGAAGAGCATCCGTAAGAAAATATAATGATTATAGTTTTTTGGGCAAATACAATATAATATCCATAACTATTATGGATCGGAGATTTATATCCTCAACTATCAATATACAAATTAATATCCAATCGTTAATTGTCTGTTAATACCCCGTTAGTAGGTCTTTCTGCAATGCTGACCTGGCAAAAAAAAAAACTGAGGTGGAATTGAGAATGTGGCATCCCTGTGGAATTGATTAAGTAAATAATAACATAAAACGTAAAAAAATAAAACAAAAATTACCCCTCCCCTCCTCTCACATCCATTCACCCAATTCTTATCCTCAACCCCTTCTTCTCTCATCTGTCCATCTCCCCCTTCTCTCATCTGTCAACTTTAATTTTTTAATTTTTTTAATTTAAAAATAAAAATTATATATTTAATTATTTGCTGATGTGGACGCCAATATGAATGCTGACATGGCAGTCTCCGTTACAAATTTAAGGGTGGTAACAGACTGTTAGCCATATCTTGACCCGCAACTATAGTTATGGATATTAATTTGTATATTGATAATTGAGGATATAAATCCCCGATCCATAATAGTTATGGATATTATATTGTATTTGCCGTAGTTTTTTTACAACGTCAATTGTACACGACGGTATTTTAGTTTAGCAAATGCGTCAATAATGGAGTTCACATCCATACCAATAGTATACACTCTTTCAAATAAAAATACTTGAGCAAGGCGAGAAATTCATTACTTTTTTTTTTTTTGCGCAAATCAATTTTCACATGTTTCATTGTTGAAAAAGTTCTCTCCATACCAATAGTTTACACTGTTTCAAATAAAAATACTTGAGCAAGGCGAGAAATTCATTGTTTTTTTTTTTGCGAAATTAATTTTCACATGTTTCATTGTTGAAAAAGTTCTCTCCATAGTAGTTGTTGAACGAGAAGCTTCAACACTAGACAAATCAATCGACTAATCCATTTGCATTGTGTGTCCATCCCTATATCCTCTCGCTGCTCTAGTAAATTTTCAAGGAAACAAACCTCATATTTCCTTTAGTCTTTTACGTTTTAGACTTTTAGGTTTCATTGTTTTTTCAGACAAATAATCTTTGGGACTAGAATTTCTAAACTAAATTTAGAGTAGTGATTTGAATATGTTCATCTGAATCATTTTTCTAGTTATACTCAATCTTATTATAAAATAACACTGGACCAAACGCCTAAAATCGAAAATTCATTAGAACTACACTAACATCGGATCTAGAGGAGGGCTGGGCCCGGGGTGGCCACCCCCTGGATCCGCCACTGTCAGTCACGGGAGAAATGGATCGTCACGTCAAAATTGGAAAACACGACAGTGGCTTCTTTTACATATCGGTATGACTTTTCGGTGAGTTTTTTTTTTTTTTTAGATTTGAGTTTTACATGCTGATGATGCTCTGAATTCGGAGATTTGAAGCAAACTATCGTATGACCTCGTTGATACCATATAAATGTTAAGCCATTCTTGAACCACATCCAATTCCGCTATGTTTTAATGTCCCTTTCCATCAAATATATTGAATTAATGTGTTTTTTTCCCCCACTTTGTCTTCATTATTAAAAAATGGAACAAGGTGGCAATTAATGGCTTCACTGATTTTTGCTTATCCTGTCTCTCTACTTCCAGTGAACTGTCTCCAACTGTTTGTGGGCCGTGGGCTAGTAGCTGCATGCAGTAGGTGAGGAATTCAATTAAAGCGTCAACGGCGGAACAGTCTGGACCAGTGTGGGCTTTTCTAATTCGGTGGCGTCATTAAAACATCCATCTCCCATGTTTGGGCCCATCTCATCTTCCACCCAACTACCTAACTGACCCATTTGTTTGGAGTTTCAGTTTGGACCGTAAATAATAAATAATTAATTATGATGACGTCTCCGGCCCGGTTGACCGAAACGTGGCAGGAGGTCATAAATAATACTGATCCACTCGCCGATCCGAGGACACGTAGGATTAACAGCGGGATCGAGGAGGGCATTGTGGGGATTTTAGTTTATTCTTTCTACCACCTGGCAGTCCATTTCCTGGGTCACTATTATTATGGGGTGAGAATGGTTCTGTCTGTAGGTTCGAGTCCAGGCCCATTGGAGAAGCATGCCATAAAGAGACGAGAGTCAGAGAATATGGGCCGCTGATACCAAAGCTCAAATGAGAACAATAAGCCCATAAGTAAAGAGGATTTCTGGATTATAAGTACGAAGGTAGCAATGGATTCCACAATATAATGAAGTAACACAAATCTTGTACCATACACACAACAAAACTCATCCAAGTAGAGATGCAAGAAGCTGGAAGGAACAAAAAATTGTAAGTAAAAAACAAGGATTTACAACGAGGCCGAAACCACTATTTGTCTTCGCATTTTCTTGGCTTACCTCACATCATTATCGGGGGAGATGCTAGCGCGACAATAAAACCACTTATGTTAGCGTCAAGTTATGACTCTTAGCGCGGGACACCTGTCCTTGACGAAGTCGTTGTTTTTAGTTGTAGTTTACCGAGTCGTATAAAATTTTCTTTAATAGGACTGCCCATCTTATGCCCAAATGACTCTACATGCATTTTTTCCGCTTTTTGCTTTTGATTTTTACAATTGGTTAGCGAGTTTTATTTTCTCTGGGGTTTAAAAGTTTGTGTAAATTATTCTGTGTGTGGAAATGGGTGATGAAAAGTAGTTGACCTAACCTTAACCCTACACAAATAAACAATTGGAAAATGTTGGATATTTTTGGATTAGCTAGCCACTAAGCATCAAAACCCTAATTAGTTTAATGGAGTTCTAATCACCCGGGACATGTGCTCATTACTTTACTTGGCAAAAAGGTCCAAGACCATGGCCAATTAGGGTTTAGGAAACAACCTAAACTAATGACTTTTCGATTAGGGATAAGGTTAGACAAATGATGGGCACTTCCCAAAAGCAGTAAGTGCGGGCACATGCATGCACAGCTGGCCCTTCATTTTTATTTTGTGGGATGAATCTGTCTTATGTGTAGTTAGTGGGCTAAGATTAGAAGAATCCTCCAGATGCATCATATGATTAGAATATGATTAAGCTTAGATTTAGGGCCCCTAATTTGTCGCTGAAAAGGGCACATGATGCTTGTTTGGAGACCGCATTTGGAAAGCAAAAAGCACTTCTCGATGCACTTTGCTTTGTTTAATGGTTTAGCACTCTACTATTGTGATGAGAAATTGGATTGAAGCCACCAATCAGGCAATCACTACGTAGCGGTTTAGCACCTGGACCCATGTAAACACTGGTGGAGCAAGAAATCTGAATGACTGAATATATGGGCTAATTTGAACGGTGATAATCGGTGGAGAAAGAGTGGGGTAAGGTTTCATTGACTACTCTATTTTCTAAATTTGTTACGAATTTTACATGTAATTTTACCTATATCTCAAATTTGAGAGGTGGTTATAGCTCTTTCTGACTTCAATACAGCTCGTCAATTGCATGTAAAGTGTCTCGATTTTGAGGAGGAGTTTTGTGTTCGAGTTGCTGAATAGGCATTTTTTTATAGTTTTTAATGATTGTTTCTTCAAGCTTATTATATTTGGAATTTGGGATGTACATACATATTTTATGTGTAATCGGAGAAGGAAGATCTAAGATTTGACATGTTGTGTAGTATGGTTAAGGTTGGAAACTTAATGATGAGGATGAAGAGCAAGCGAAGGAGCAAGGACGATTGCCACGGATAATAGATTTGTAACTTTGGAAGAAATTTTAGTAAACTTTGAAAGTAGTCCTTTACTCGGTGAAAAAAAAACATAGAGTCGAGATAATTACCATTCTCTATCTGACCCTCATTATAACCGTGAATGAAAGGAAATGATTAAATTGGCGTTGAATAATATGGTTTGGACTACATTGAGTAGTTTGATAAAACCTAAATAATTACTACATTAAGTAGTAAAACGAATCATCCACGTTAGTTGGTTACGACCTATTTGGCTATTCTATCGTTTAATATTGCTTGGTAGTCTTTATCTCGATGAATCGAGAAACAAAAATATAACAAAAGATGAACAGAGTTAATGTTGTGCCATCTATTACAAAATTCCGTCACGCTTTCATTGAAAAGCAAAGTTCAGTGACTAATCTGTTAATGACCTTAAAGTTTAGTGACGGCCATTATTGATGTGGGGCTAATTACTTGCCGACCCAGATCAGTACCACGGTTGATGATGTAAGGCCAAGCTGCAAAAGTCTCTATCCCATCTGAATCAGACTACTACTAATTGAGGAAAGAGTATTATTTGTATATACTTTCCAGGATTTGCCTTTTTAGTACCCAACTTGTCTTTTTCACTCTCTTTTAGCCTAAAAAAAAACACCTTCCTTAAACCTTGTAATATAACAAGACAATGGAAACGTGCGAAAATTGTGCTTTGCAGCATTAAACAACACATTAATCCATTATTTACCAAATACATCTTGGCATAATTAACCTTGTAGTACCAGTACCACATACATACACTTGCAGTAGTACTACATTAGTTGGTCACTAAAAATAAAACCCAAAAGGAACCACAAAAGAATCCAAAAGAGATTCATCAAACTAGATGGCTTCTTGGTTACTAAGACACTAATAGCTACATGTAGATAGATGGGAGGAGATAATGAAGAAGAAGAAGAAGAAGAAGAAGAAGAAGAAGAAGGTGCATGCAATAATATGTATAATGGATTGCACTTATTATATTGCTCTTGTGGTGATGATGATGATGATGATCCACATCACCATTAATACTTCATTCATGCTTCATCCCATAAGCTACCTCATTGGAGCTTCATGTTCCTCATCCTGAAAAAGGTTCCACCACCAACACCCATCAATAATCTATAGTAATTCGACGCAATCTTACGATAACCAATCAGCGATACTACAATACTGTCAGAGAACAGTTTCGTCGAAGCAGAAGGCAAACTCAATCGATAACCCAATGACGAATTACATAGTTCGTGACACGAGTCAGTATCAGTATTAAAAAGCGCCTTGAAGCCCCCACACGTGGAAAAAAAAGGGTAGTATGTAAGCTCCTTTTCCACCACCAAATGAAGAGGATGGAGGAAGGACACCTCAAGAGCTACTATTAAATGGAGACTTGTGCATGCATTAATTAGCAAAGCTAATTAGTAAGGTCCTTTTTTCACAATCCCCGTGATTAATTAAAGACATAATAAAAACATCAACCAATTATAATCACAAAACGTTGTCTCTAGCTCTAACCTCTTTATCTCTTCGTCGGAGATCATGAGGTTGAGGTTGAGCTGGCCGCCGGAGGAAGCAATATTATTGCCGTTGTAGTTGGAGTTGGTGTAGAGATTTGAGGGGAAAGGGAAGTGAGGAGACTCGATGAAGTTGACGTCGTCGACGAGGAGGTCGTAGTGCCGCTTCACGTCGTCGGCGGTCTTGTTCCCGCCGACGGCCTTGGCCACGTTGGACCACCGGTCGGGGGTGTCCTTGTCGTACACCGCCAGCGCCCTCTCGAACGCCTTGTTCTGCTTCGCCGTCCAAACGCCTGACGAACCTCTGCCCGACGACATTACAGTAGACCGCCGGTATATATAGTTACTAGCTAGCTTTAGTTTTCCGGTGATGGAGTCAACGGCGGAGAAGACTATGGCTTTGTGGTGGTGATGATGTAGAGAGGAAGGGAGTGTGGCAATGACTCTTTATAGGGTGAGACAAGGGTACTGGTTTATATATTTGCCAGTTGGCAATAAAAGGGGGATTTCTTATGATTTGTGATTTGATTGGGTAATTAGATATTTTGGGGGAGTGATTTGTCTTTCTAGGAACCACAATTTGGTGTTTTAGAGGTTGGGAGAGGGGAGGAGAAGGAGAAGGTAGGTGCCAAGTTGGAAGCAAAGGGAAACAGACATTTTGCATATGTAAGTGATTGGAGGAAAGGCCATGGTGATGATGAGTGGGAATCTCGTTTGGATGGATCAATCTAGAAATGAGTCAGTTTGATCAATTGTTTCGTTTTTATAAACGGGGAAATTAAAACGAGTCAATTCGAATTATCTGCTCCCACCCCAGGTAATTGAAATTGACTCAAAACGGATCAATTCAAAATACCTCAGGCAGATTGATTCATCCAATTTTTTTGTTGGCAAACGAGGCAATTTGGTACAATTGTCTCAAAACGAGACAATTGTGTGAAAACGAGATAATTGTGTCAAATTGATCCGTTACAATTCCTCATCCAAACGACCCCTCTTTTTAAGACAGGTTAGGGACTCACATGATTTGGTTCATGATGCTTTATTTTCTATAAAAATCCTTTTTATCATGCATGCTAATTTGTCTAATCGCTTTCGCTTTCATTTTATAAATATCTCAGATCGTTATGTTAGGTTTTAATGTAATGTTAACAAGTGATGCTCTAGTATGTAGTTGGTAGGTTAGCTCGTTTGGGTTCGAGCTGTTTAAAATTTTCATTCTGGTCCTAGAATATACTTGTGGTTATGTCTGATTTTAATCATGAATGGACTTCTTACACATAAATGAATGAAAGAAGTTGGGTACATGGAGAAAGTTAATTAACCATAGATATCATCTTCAAACAGTTTTATCTTCTATCACCTAGCTCTGAAAGCAGCATGGTCTTGGGGGCACGAGTGTTCTTTATATTATTTTGTAATGATTAACGGTTGACAACCATCCTATACGTTTTGGCTTATAATTTTTAAGAATCGGTATGAAACACATTCACACATCATCCCACAACATAAAAGCACAAAGACTATCATCCAATTAGTGAATTTACTCCATCATCACACGAAACAAACACAAAGACTCTCGTCCAACAAGTGACCGACCCCTCGTTACGAGTTTGGAGAGAAATGAGCCTCTGCCCCTAAGCCTTATTGAAAATTAAGGACAAGGGTCATGTAGTAGTAGGGTCAAAATTCCATGGCTATGTCCCAAAAAAACCATGCTAGTAAGTTACTATTGAACTTTCACGTGTGCACCCACAATCTTCACACAACTGTTTGGGGGTATCCACGAAAAGGAACAAAGGATGGATCTTTGTGCAGTGATGAGAGAACCAAATAAACCAAACCCTGCTTTTTTGTGTTCTTATATGTTCCATTAATTATAAATGCAGACGTGATATGATCCTCTTCTGAGAACTGTACTCTGTCCTGAACAAAATTCCAACCAAACCTAGCTGGCCCTTTTTGGTTCAATCTTCTTTGTCCTTGCAACTCTACATGATTACTTTCACATTGTGTCTTCTTGTTATCTCCCCCTTTCCTTCCTTTCTTTCATGTTGCTGCCTTTTCTCTCTAACCATAACAGTAAGTCAAATACATGTGCTCATCACACCTCACCGTTTTTCAGCTATTTGGACTCAATCGGTTCAAATATCGTTGCATCTATGAACGGGATTCAATCTCGATAAACGAAGGCTTCGACGCCTCTATGTTTTATCGACTCAATCTGGTTAAACGGTGTTGCATCCCTAATAGATAGCATTTCGACGATTTTTATCTTGAGTAAGGTTTCGTTTATGGTGTAGATCCAAGATGGGGACTTGCGAAAATCAGAGATGAATAGGTCAGACAGGACTTCCACCGGATTCTAGCTAGCTTGACTAGTGCTCCATGGACAAATAGACTGATCTTAATCTAAAGATTTTGTCTGAGAATAATAATATGCAGCAAGAAAAACATGGTTCCATTTGTCTGGTTTTTCTTGAAATGATGGGAACAAAAGCTTGTCCCCTTTCCCCTGCAGAAGAACAGTCTCCTTGTATAGTAACACTAAGCAACATAATTTGCCCTAATTCTGTCTAAATGGCAGTCAAATAGTACGATGGTTAGTTATGATTAATCAGTTTCTCTGATGGGCTAAATGACAATTATTAATGTCAGGGATTGAAGAAGCTCGTGAGAGGCCTAACCCGCCTGCTGTAAACAGATCAAAGGATTAGACAAATTTGGTTCATGGCTTTTGTTCTGCTGATTAGTCCTTTCATGTGCCTAACTTTGTTTTTAAAAGTAGAAGCTAATCCCTCGGCAGTTTTGTCTTTGATCAGAAAAGGGTAGCAGCAGGAACATTGTTGGTTCAATTGTACCAATGGTCACTGGACTTTGAGATCATTAACATATTGGTCACTCTTGTTCCCATCTGTGATTTTCACCTCAGGATGGAACTGTAGTAGGAGCCACTCCAGCCAGAAGCACGTTGGGATGCAAAAGAGTTAACCCACTTGTTCTTTGGTTCTTAACCAATTATATACAGGTAGTGAAAAAAGCTTGCTCTTTTACTTTTTCCATTGACAAGTCTACTTCTTTCTGAGGTGAAAATTTATGTTCTTTCCAGCTTATCCTTTTACTATGGGTTTGGCCCCATATCCCCAATCTGTCTCCTTTTGTTTTCACCCCACTCCCTCTGCATCTTTTTCTGCAAATGATGAACATCCACAATCATATCTCAAACTGCAGGATATCTGCACAGTCATGGACAACTACCCCAAAAATATATGCAATAATGTGAAAGAATCTTTCTTCCTGGCCTACCAGATGTCCTTGTAGGGTTTCTTTGGCCCTCTCTTCTGTAAATTAACCATCTGTAGGCACAGAATTTAGCAGGAATTAAGGGCTTACTTAATCAATGAGAATGTGGCAATCAGGAAAATATCTGCTTGGAATATAAGATAAGACAGATTGAAGAGGCAGCATACATATCAGAATATAGTCTAGGCTGCAAGTTGGTTGCATTTGCAGGAAAATAGACCAAAAAACAGTATCATACAGCCACTAAACATTAGGGCAAATGCTGAAAACTTAGTGAGGTCTATGTGGATGGATGTTCGTCTCAACTTTCTTACTGTGGTCTCTTGAGAATCTGTTTCCATTCCTCATAGGACTTGGATTCGAGCTCTTCGCTGAGTTGTTTTGTCAAACGATCATATCAGATAGAAATATGCTATGGAAGCTGTATGTCAAGTTGCATACACAAGTCATGGTCAGAGGATTCTGCCTATAATGGGGCTGCTGCTGCTGCTGCTGAAGCTTGTGATGATTAGATGAAAGTTACATGACCAAACTTCTTAGGAATCTGTTTGGAAGGAAGGAAAATGGTGAAAAGGGGAGAAAGTGATTGCTATGGAGATGCACAAACCATTACATTCCCACTTCCCATTTGGAAAAAGGTCATCAACTTTATATGTATGTTCATGTCCATGGATGCCATTCCTCCACACAAGTTGGAGCAAAATGAGTGTTCTAACAAGATATACAACCACCCCATTTGCTTATGGTGGAAGAACATGCTACTTCTTAGATGCATTTAGCAGCTGTTAGCTTAACAATTTCATTATTCCAAGCTAGGAGAGAACCAGGAATCTAGGACTAGAAAGGTTTGAAGATTTGCAATCCATATTATATTCTTTTGATGGCTGGCAGCTGGTCCTATATGAATAGAATATTGTAAAAGACACAGGGAAGGTTTGTAAATGTGATTGGTGGATTTTGCTGGGGGGAAGAAGCATGGTGGGGAATATGCAAGAGGGAAAGATAGAATGAATAATGCTCTCTGTGTGTCCAAGAATTGTACAAGCAGCAGCACTGATTATGCTTGCTTTATGATACCTACTTTAAACTGGTTCCAACCTACTAATTCGGGTAGTTGGGAAATGATCGGTGATAAATGGATTAGTGCATTCATGAATTTGGATAAAAAAATTGTTGGATTGTATATTTGTATTTATGTATTTAAGTGACATATGTAAAATTTCAAAAAATTTAAATACTAAAATGTCATAATAAAAAAAAATTAGATACCAAAACGTAGTTGTTTTAATGATTTTACATAAAATATTATAATTTAGGTATCAAATGTAAACTATAAGTACTAAACTGTAATTTTTCAAATATTCATGAATCCAATCCATAAATCTAGGGTTGCCAATCGGTTTGGTTTCAGCTAACTACTGATCGATTTGGTTGTTAGTGATTAACTAACCAAAAATGCATGCCGAAAACCGAACCAATAAAGCTTATCGCTTAATCGTCTGTTATCTGTTCGATTAGCGATTAGTTTGACAGTTAACAAACCAATAACTACTTCCACGTGCTGGGGTGGGCAATGGGTGGGTTTCGGTTTTAAATTGACCCTTGGGTTACTAATGAGTTGGTACAATTGTGACCTGCAATCCACCTACACACTACTTCAGGTTGGATGGGTGGGGGATGTGTGCGGTTGGTTGTGGATTAACCCGCAAACACAATTCTTCAACTAGTAATTATGCAAGTTGACTCACATTTATAATAAATTTCTCGCAAATTAGTAAGATCCCCTCGATTTAGACACCTCCCGCCAAATTTGTCCCCCTGTGGAGATGGCTAGTGCTTGTATCAAATCTTTCATTACTTCATCAACCAATTATGTAGAGAAAATTCAAAGTTTTTTTAGCGACTTAGATACAATCAATGGTTTATAATTTGCATCTCAATATGTAATGGACATTACATAACATAGTGACCAATAGTAGTAACCTAAAAATATTCTTTATTTTTCCCCTGTAGAAGTCGTCAATTTATCGCTTAAGAAATATAATGACTATTTGTTAATATATATAAGAAACAACTATTTTTCATGTAAAGATGAGGTGCGGGTTATTAAGCTGATATCGATCCCCCTTTACACTAACCATTGGTTCGATTATTATCGATAAAAATTGATAACTGAATAACCATTTACCACTCCTATATTAATCTACCAAAACCATTGAATTATAATTAAATAGATTTGATTTAAATGAAATTGATTAATTGGATATTTTAGTGGATATGTGGATGGATTGGAAATTTGGATTAGATACAAAATTGTCACCACTATTCATAAATGGATTCATCAATGCCTTTTCCTTTGTATGTCATTCTTTAACAAAGTTCTTTGCAGCTTTCAAATTTACTTAAACCTGTTGTTTCGTGCTTAAATAGTTCGTTATATCAACAGTTTCATCATGATTCAACACACAAAACCCATTCCTCTCCACCAGTTAAACAATGAGGAAGAGAAAAAGAGAGCCAGTAGCAGTCAATTCCTTGTAACGATAGAAAGTTGCATACTTGCATTCGAACAGATAAAAAGGAAAGAGGATCATGCTCTGTTTTTCGGTCCCCCTGAGTTCGGTTCTGTGGTTGAGACAGGAACATGTAGAGCCTCTTTCTTTCTTCCCTTCTTCTTTTCTTACCTTAGAATTGATTTTACATCACCAATAAAAACTCAACCTTTTTGCTACTGATCTCCATAGCAGGAGATCCCATATATAATTGGCTGGACGGTGTTGGAGGAGTCACTCCGAAAGAGATTGGTTTCGGTTTGTGGAGGGGAAGAGTCCTATCTATACCTATCTTTCATTCTGGTAAATGTATGTTTCACGAATGTGTACGTATAGGAAAGAAAGAAAGAAAGAAGCTAGACGGGTCGAAAAATGGCTCTTTACTAAGGTGGGTTTTCCAAACTAGAAATAGCCAAACACCAGGAGGAAAAAAAAAGTAAAGAACTTTGACTATCAAGCCATGAAACAACATTCATTTGGAGATGGCCGGTGAGTATTAGGGCCTTCAAAAACATCTGACTCTATCCTAACGGAGAAGGTTGACGGATTTTGTTTTGAGTTCATAAGTGGAGGCAAAAGATTTTGACTTTGTCACGGGACACAAGTAATTTTAATTTAAAAAAAACCTGCTAAGTATATTTATGCAAGTAATCGATCTCAGTCTCACCATCTTGAAGGTGACATAAGGGTATTTTGATATAGCATAAAAGCTAAATTCTTGTTGTTTGATTACCATAACGGAGATGGACAGCGTTGTCAAATGGCCATTGATGGAATAAGAGTATAAAGTTAGTGATTATTGATCTAATAAAAAAAATTAACGACAAATGTGTAACAAATTAGTAATATCAGTTATCAAATTTGTAATTCACCCTTTATTTATTATACCAAAAACAAAATCTCCCATTAAAATAATTTATATTTGAAAAAAAACTAACACACCTAGTTTCAAATTCTGGGTCCGCTATTGTTAGAGCGTGACTCTCTAAAACACACAATTGTGAACCAGACGTAGTCTATCTTGAGTGGCCAAGAACTTTGTCTAAAAAAAGTTGGCAATCCCAGTATAATGAAGTCCAACAACTGAGGACATCTGTCTCCAGACTTTTCTACAAGCTAGGGGGCACGGCAGAGCGGGCACTTCAATTTCCATGTCCCGTCTCATGCTACTACGTGTCTGGACGGGTAAAATTCGCGCGGATACGGGGCGGGGAGGGTCGACCCACAGTTACATGTTAGTTGAAGAAAAGTCCAAATAGGAGACATATATACCCACGGGGCGGGTTCAAATTATCATCACTACCACCAGCCTCCTAGCACAGTCTTGAACAAGATAAACAAAATATGACTTCCCAACTATTTTGAGCTTTTCAAATATATTATTTCTATTTGTAATAGACACGATTTTGTTAGAACCTGCTCATCTGCATCTTGTGAAAACTTTCTCACTATTTTATGTACCAATAATAACTTTGTTATTTGATCCTGATTACACTACTCTAATGCATTTTGTAACAACGTACTCACAGACGACTCATTGGATTGGAACGCCCGATTTATGATCTGTTCGCTTATAGAGGTTTTCATCACGCTTACACTCATAACGGCATAACCTCTTCTTTGGGCTTCCGTCATCGTCCCGATTACTTATGTAAGCCCAACGCATACAAAACCTACCAGCCAAATTGTTACTGGGCCGGGCCAATACAAAGCCCAACGACAAGACCAGGCTCACAATCATATCACATCAAAAGACCATTCAAGTCTCACGTCACATGCACGTCACCAGCCCCCACCCAACTCTCTTTCACTTTTCGTGCAGTGCAGGTCAGCCATAATTGTCAGTGATAACGAACCGAAGATAATAACGGCACTTCCCATAAAAAAACAATATAATAATAATAATAACGGCGCCAAAGACTCAGATATTTTGCAAAATGAAGATATGTACTCAGTTTCCATTCATTCATTTTCCAGACACAACAATTCCATGGAGCGTAACCGTAAACCCGAACAGTAACCCGAAACGCGAACCAGAACCCAATGCAACGGACACACAGAGAGAGAACAAGAACCAGAACTCGGACAAGCAAGTAACCAAGAACCAAACCGATCAGAACCACGGCTAATTTTAAACACAAAGTTAATCCAAAATCATGACACCTTCCACATCCCTCCTAATCTATAATCATCTAACTCCTCCAGTTTCCGTCGGAGGCACCACCGCCCCTGGAAGAGTAGCGGGAACCGCCATCGCCGCCGCCTCCGTAACCACCACCGCCATAACCACGGTCCCGGCCACCACCGTATCCACCGCCTCCGTACCCACCACCGCCGCCGCCATAACCACCACCGCCGTTTCCATATCCACGATTGTATCCACCTCCGCCGCCGCCGTCTCTGCGGGGTCCACCACTCCTGTAACCACCGCCGCCGCCACTGCCGGAGCGGGACTGAGCCTCGTTGACGGTAATGTTACGGCCATCGAGATTCTGGCCGTTCATCCCTTCAATCGCGTCCTTCATCGCCTGCTGGTCCCTGAAGGTCACGAATCCGAATCCACGGGACCTTCCTGTCTCACGATCGTTGATGACCTGAACAGAATTCCACACACACATAACAAAGGTTCACAGATCCGTCAGATCTACACAGAACGCATAATTCGGATCGCGGAAAGAGAGACACAGCCGAAGTTCAAAATTCGAACAGAAGAAAAGCAATTGAAAAACGGAATTGAAGAATTGAAAAAAAGAAAAAATCGATCGATCTCCTCCCAAAGGATGAAGACGGACGTACCGATTGGTTAAGAGAGATCAGTAACAGAGAAAAACGTAGTAGCTAGTAACATGAGTAACAGAGTAACACAGAGATCAATAGTAGCTAGTAACAGAAACAGATCGGGGGATAGCTAGGTAGATCAGAGATCCTGGATCGACATAGCCGAGTGGATAGTCGGGGGAGTCAGATCCGATGACAGCAAACGGACCTTCGATTCGATGATCTCGCCAAAGTGACTGAAGGCGTCTTGGAGTACCTCGTCGGTGGTAGCCCAGGCCAGGCCACCGACGAAGCACCGGTACTCAAGATCGGCGGAAGCCATTGTTATACCGGGGGAAAAAAAAACCTAACAGAAATTGTCAGAGAAGAGCCCGATTTGGGTGAGAATGAGCAGAGAGAGCGTGGGTCTGGTATGATTATATAGAGCCGGGGGTTCCCTTAACTAGGGTTAGTTAGGCGGTGAAAAGGGTGCGCATTGCGCATCTTTCAGCGTGGGTTTAAATGCCGGGCCGGCTATGTCTCAAATTATCCCGTTCGGATTCGGAGCAAAGGTTGCGTAATGTTCGCGCTACGTTATTCGGGTTGACCGATATTCCTATTTAGGCGGGGAAATGTATTATTATTTTGTAGTAGAAACCCGGGGGGTGGTCTGGCCGGTTAGATGGGGTAACCTGCATCGGTGGTTCGGTTCCTGAATTAACCCGGCAACGCGGCGGGAGTGAAATGAGATCAATGATAAAATATCTTTCTGTGTAAGGCGGAGCGGGAAGAGGTCAAGTGGGGCCCACGTGCTTTGTCATCAAAGTTTGCTGAGCTGTACGTTTGCGATAATAGGATAAGCACGGTACCAACAGGACAAATGGTAAATTACATTAAAAATTCCAAAATAACAATTAATAAAAAATCACTCCCCCTTCGGCCCTTCCCATTCCCGCGATTTCTCTCTCTTTTTTTGCAGAATTTCATCGTCGCGCGGAGGTGGATTAAAGAGTAATAGCGACGGCGGAGCTCGTGGAGCATCCATCTCCTGGGGGTGGAAGCTGCGGTGGCAGTAGCAGGTGGCGCACCGAAAAGCACCCGGTGTTCCTTCTTCGGCGCGCGGGGGCATGAAATCGCCAGATCTGAATGGTCAAGGAAGTGGAATCTGGTCGCCGGTTGTTCTCCATCGCTGGCGTTTCCCTTCTATTGTTTCTCTATCGATGGATGCTCTAGCTGTGATCAGAAACAAAAAAAAAAAAAAATTAAAATCTGCCACAACTATGCTTCCGTCGAGAGAGATGGCTGGTACGAGCGCCAACGGACGTGAACAGGCGGGAGAGGAGAGAAAGAAATAGAGGACTTGTTTGGCGAGGAAATCACGGCGTTTGTGGTCTCTTCCGTCTCAATCGCCAAACGCCGGTACAAAATCCATATGTACTGCCAGCATCTCCGAAGAGCCTTCCTCAATTCAACCCGAACCGTCGCCGCCGCCGCCGCCGATTCCTCCTCCGTAACTTCTCAGGTCGGTTCCCCCCTCTTCCCGTTCGAATCTTCTCTTTAGTTATCGATTGAACTGATGCCTAGCTAGCGATTTTCTCGTTTGATTTTCCCCCTGAAATGAGGCCTTCGTTAATCTATGTTCTTCGATCATGGTTTCAGATACGCTGCTGAAGGAGGAGAGCAAAATGGTCGGCGAAAGTGCAGGGCCGTCCCATGGTATTTGGAGGCCCTGTTCGAAAATTTAAAATGTGGCCCTAATTTTTTCCCACATAAATTTATCAAAATTAAAAATTAGTAAATAATTATAAAAAAATTCTTAAGTTCAGAAAAAGATTACATCAGGAATAAACCATCTCGTTTCCAGTTTGACCAAGAAACCAATACCGAATTCCCAGCGCTAGTAGGGAGGAAAGTAAATCTGGAAGGAAGAGAAAATGGATATAGCTCAAAAATTGAATGGAGAAATGAAAATAGTCTAAATTGATCGAGAGGTGGGTGCAGGGTTGTCTACTAGATCGTGGAGGCCCTATTTTAAAATCTAGACGTGGTCCAAATCGACCTTTAACTATAATAAAACTAAAATGATTATAATAACATTATTCAAAATGTAATATCTTTCTATATTGTTTAAATTAAAATTATCTATTATTTTTCAGATTTTCCTATTCTCCATGAGATCCTTTTCAATTGTTATTATAGCTAAAATTATCTATTAAACACATCATCATACTCATAATCAATCAATCATACACTAAAAATACAACCTACAATATACGATCGATAACTAACGAATCTAAGTAGAGGCCTCTAATATTCTGAGGCCCTGTGCCGGAGGGCGGGCCAGCACACCCTCTTGGCCGGCCCTGCGAAAGTGAGAAAAGCCAAGTGACTCGGGTTCTGTTTTGCGGGCCTCATTTTCCTGCTTCTCATAACTACACCAGAGAGTACTTGGCCAAAGTAGTAATCTGAAAGACTCAATAAAACTATATCCCATTAGAGGCGAAATTCACCAGATCGAAAACAAGAGAAAAAGGAATGATCTTTGCGGATACATAAGGAAAAAATGTAGAAGAAAGGAAGTAGAACCATATTCAAGGAACTGGGTTTTGACAAGCAACTGAAATTTATGCTCTTAACACTGAACACCAAAAGGGTCATGTGATCCACACGCATGCAATTACAGATACATACAATAGAAAGGTAAAAAGAGTAGACAACAATGGCAAGCTCAATTCTAGGCAGAACTAGCTTAACCTGAGATTAATGGCCAAAGTAGTAATCTGAAAGACACCAACTATGCTGCTACTTTCTTTCTTCTGCATTTTTCCTTATGTATCCGCAATCAATGTATGTAATATTAGAAACCTACTAATACATATGACAATGACGATAAACCAAACCAAAAAAACATACCAGAAACCTGCTAATGCGGATCGAGAAACTCATAAAGCAAACTACAACTATTTCTAAAACACAACAAAAACCTCCCAATACAGACCACAAATACGGTAAAACAATTCACAAAAAGCGTACCAGAAACCTCCCAATCCATACCACAAATCCCCTAAAACAAACCAAAAACCCCACAAAGCATACCACAAATATTCCGAAAGCACACCAGAAACCTCATAATGCAAACCACAAACAAGGTAAAACAAACCACAAACCTCCTAATGCATAGGGATGGCAATGGGTCGGGTCGGGGGCGGATAGTGCATATCCGTTACCCTACCCAATGTAGTTCGGGTTTTACCCATACCCGTACCCACACGAGAAACGGGTAGAAAATCAAAACCATGCTCATACCAGTTCGGGTTTCGGGTATCCACGGTTATCCATGGGTAATAATTTCTCCTTATAACTCCAACCAATATGTTAACATTCACACGTATACTCACATTACGTAAGAGGAAAAGTACGACAATAATTCACTAGAATGACGAAAATTAATTAAAACAACATAATTTCATGAAAATATTATATTTATATGCTAAATATAAAATATTCTAGGGAAAAATAATGATTATTTCTAGACAAAATACATATGAATGTGTATGATCGGGCGGGTTCGGGTTGGATAGTGAGATAACCATGCCCACCCATTACCCGCAATATTCGGGTTCGGGTTTTACCCGTACCCACGAAAAATGCTTCGGGTTTGGGTTTTACCCTACCCGATTAGGTCGGATTCGGGTGGATATCCACGGTTACGGATATTTTTGCCATCCCTACTAATGCAGACCAAAAATATATTAAAACAAACCAGAAACCCCACAAATCAAACCATAAAATTTTCGAAAGCACACCATAAACTTCTTAATGCAAACCAGAAACACAATAAAGCAAACCAGAAACCTCCGAATGCATACCACAAATCTCATAAAACAAACCACAAACCTCACAAAGCAAACCACAACATTTGCGAAGCACACCAGAAACCTCTTAATGCAAACCACAAACACAGTAAATCAAACCACAAAAAAGCAAACCATAAACGTCCTAATGCAGACCACAAATATATTAAAACAAACCAGAAACCCCTCAATGCAAACTACAAAAATTTTCAAAGCAAACCAGAAACTTCTCAATGCAAACCACAAACACGATAAAGCAAACCAGAAACTTCTTAATGCAAACCACAAACACGATAAAGCAAACCACAAAAGGCATACGAAAATATGAGAAACCAAAACATAAATCTCACAATGTAGACCATACATCCGGTGGTCGTTGACCGAATTCCGGTGACCGTCAATCAGCAGATTCCGACGCCGATAAGCATATTCCGTCCCCGATGACTAGATTCCGACGCCGGTAAGCATATTCCGACCGCGGTGAGCATATTCCGGCGACGGTGGCATATTCCGATGACATAATAGCATATTCCGACGACAAAAAGCATATTCCGGTGACCAGCGCCCATTTTTCGGCGACCGGTGGCAGAATTCCGGCAACCGAAATTTTGGGCCGAAAATAAAAAATATTTTTTTATTTTTTATTTTATACTTTAAACATATTTTTCATAATGACAATTATACCCCTGCTATGATTTTACACTAGGTCAACTCATCTAATAAAAAGTCATTACAACCCTAGCTTCCTATTGGTTGGATACTAGTGTTGTTATAATAACAACACAAGGAGTGTTGTCATAGTATCTAGTCCCCTAGGTGAACAATGGGGTTGGGCGGGTGGGGTGGGGTGGGTTTTGATCTTAGAATGATCAATCGCTTACTAGTGAGTTGAAATAATTGTAACTTATAATCTATTCACATACTTCTGTGAGTTGAGTTGGGTGGGTGGCGGATGGGTGCGGGTGGTTCGCGAGTCAATCCACAAAAGCAATTCTCCAACTAGTCATTATGAAAGTTTACTAACATTATGTTTGGGAAGGGGTGCAGATGGAAGGGGGTGCAAGCTTGGGGGATAAACACAAATTTCAAGGTATTTACCCTCATTTGGTTATTTTGTAACAGTAGGGGGTGCAAAACGTGAGCGTAAATTCACTATTTCGGGTTACCCCCAAATTGGGGTGCAAGGAAAGTAAGGAAGGAAGGGGGGAGGGGGATCAGGATGTGAATTATGGATTTTTAATTAGATTATAATTACATAATGATTAATATTATTAATTTTTTGGGCTAATACCACTGGAAATACCAACCTTTAGTAAAAGTGTCATTTATATTACGTAAATTCAATAAATACAAAAATATTCCAACCTATTAGATGTTTGCGTCAATTGTTACGTAAATTTCTGTTGACCGTTAGAACTAACGGTTGACCTAACGGCAGTCAACCTTTGACTGAACACTGATGAAGTGGCGCCTATGTGTGGTCCACATATGCAACACGTAGATGCCACGTGGGAAATTAGATTTAACATTTAAAATAAAATATATAATTAATTAATTAATTTTTTTAATAAATTTATTTTTATTATATTTTCTCACCTGTTCCCCTCTCTAATCTCCATCACTCGTTCGTTGAGTAGAATGCCCAACGCAATTTGGGGATTAGGGTTTGGGGGTGGAGATTGTGAGATCCAGTTCGCCCTCCAATCTTCCCACCTGTATTCTCACCCCTACTCTCACCCGACCATTATTCCACCATCAGTTTCAGTACACCAGATCAATAACAACATCAATGAAGCGCCGGTTTGCAGAACAGAGCCTCCGCCGGCTCGATTTCCCCGTCGGCGGCGACAATATCTGTTCGTTCACCGAACAGATCGTGACTCCCCTACTCCCGACCATTCGAGCAAATTACGACGCCCACGTGGACATCTCAGACCCAGATCTGGCACACATCGTGGCAATTGATTTCCTCTTCTTAGTCGAGTTGCTTCTGCAGTCAAATGATCGGACCCTGCTTAATTGATGAACGGCGTCGGGATGCTCGGAAACCAATTCCCCGTCTTCTCAATAATCGATCGCATCAAATCGATAACCGCCGCTGCTAATTTCTGCAACCAGCAGATCTTGTTTTTTGAGAGTAGGTGGGTCAGTTTTGCCGGCGAATTTCTCCCCTGCAATGGACGACGGAGAAGACGGCGTTGCGGGAGGAGCAGCAGCGGTGGCGACCTCAGCATTTGTTGGACTAGTTGTAACTTCAATTACTGCTGGATTAATGAAAGCCGTGGATTCAACAACTGGGAAGCTAATTCGTCTCGGTCGATGTCGCCTCCTGAAAGAAGTAGCAGAAGCCCCCCTCATGCTTGACCTCGGAATCAGCTCGATCGCCTCCAACTCCCCCTCCACTCCACTTGATTGTCGATTGATTCCACCCACCTCGTCGATTTTGAGAAATTCTTTTTCTAGGGTTCTTCCTCTATTCGTAATCGAGAGTGACGAAGAGGAAAAGATGAGAACAAAATGAATGTGTTACTAGGGCCTCCTTGTTTTTGCATATATATATTTTTGTTTTTTATATTTTAAACAGCGAACCACGTAGGATCCTATTAGGTGATGACTGGACGTTGAAAAGTTTCACAGTTAAATTTAACGGCCCAACTAACGGAATATACATTTTGGTATACAAATGTCATATCGATAATTACGTAATATAAATGGCACTTTCGCTAAAGGTTGGTATTTTCGGTGGTATTAGCCCTACTTTTTTTATCTATATTAATGTAGAAGTTGTTTGAGGTTGGCTGTTTGACTCCGAGAGTAAGTTTGTCAATGTTCGTATAGTCAAATCGATATCTCTTGATTGACCCAAATTTGCATTGAAAATTAGAGATAAAAGTGTTTGTTGAAAAGATAGAGAGGAACAGTTTAGTTGACTCGATTTACTTTAATAAATAGTTAAAACTTACAGATTCGAACGTGTTTGACTAAGTTTGACCATATTCAATTTAAAGTTAGGCACGAGAACCCTCTTATGATGACCAGATACGAGTTGGATTTCGAGTTTCGAGGTTGCTCGACCAATGATTATTATTGTTGTTATAAATAATTATATTTGAGCATTATTATATAATAATTATTTTATTAAAAATATAATTATTAATATTTATTATTATATATTGATTTTTCATTTTATTATTTTATGATAATATTTTATAAATATGATAAATCTATTTTATAATAATATAATTACTTACTTTTCACTCTATTTGCACCCCCTACTTTTTCATCCAAACAACAATTTACCACTCCACTTACACCCTCCACCAAGTTGCACCCCAAACAATTTACCCCTCAACTTGCACCCTTCAACTTGCACCCCTTTGTTGCCAAACATAGTGTAACATTTATAATAAGTTCAAAACAAATTTGTAAGCCCGTATCAATAATTTGTGATTTTGGTACAATTAATAATTTATAGTTTGTATCTCAATATTTAATTGATATTAATAATAATTTGCATACCAATATCCAATAGATATTGCACAACACAATAACCGTTAGTAGTAAAAAATATTCTTTATTCTCCGCCTTTTGAAGTATATGGTCAGACTGTAGTGCAGTTCGAAAATATGATGAATATTTGATATTATAAGAAACAACATTTTTCCATGTAAAAATAAGATGCAGATCATATCGGTAACTCGCAATCCACCCACCACCCACCCACATAAGTGTAGGTGGAGATTTATCAATCCACAATTCACCGACATCAATCACCCACTGTGTGTGAGTCGGGTTATTTGTGTGTGGATCGATATCAATCCGCGGATTAACCACCCACGTGCCCACCCCTACTCTTTACTAGGAATATCTAATTGTGGAATTCCAGTATTGCCCCTCTCTGCCGGCTGCTGACCGGGGTTTTTAGTAAGTTTATAGAGGATAATTATCATAAATGGTCACACAACTTATCTCTTATCCCTTAGTATAAAATAGTCATTAGTGTTTAATTTTGTACGTCACGTTTGAACGAATAACAAAAACGTCATTACGTCCTTCCCTGTCTGAAAATCCGTTAATTCATGATTACCGTAACACTATGATTCTGTTTTGGTTCACATTTAGACGAAATTGTCGACTCCCCACCTCCCCTAAAATCATCGTGCTAACTGCTAAGTTTTCTCTAATAAAACATCATAGCATTATATGATTAACCTGCCAATCAAAAGTTGTTATAGCTCATTGAATGACTCGGCCTTTAATCTTTAGAGACACCAAACGCGCTAAGTACCGATGAACGATGATCTTTTATCTTTATATGGATTATAGTTCATCGTTAGACTTTGTAGAGTACTTGTTTTCCGTTGAATTAATAGGATAAAGTCATTCCATTAATGTGCTCGAAAAGTTTTTGCCAAAAAGAACATAACCGAAGCCAACTACAATTGTAATTACATAGCTGAAGGCCTGAAGCCAACTATAATTGTAATTTGATTTCCATCTAAGGTGCTTATCTAAGTTACTTGTTTAGTATGTACATAGGTCTATCATTCGAGTTGTCATTATGATGACATTTTTCGTCTTTTTAAATTTTTTTTTGTCCAATTATGTAATGGTATGACATGATTTGGTTTTCTCATTTATGTTATATAATATAGGTGTGACATTTTGATCCCTGAAAAAAAATGTACAACGCAACGCAATCAAGAGTAAAAATAACCTTAAAGAAGTGAATTATGATAATGTGAAAATAAAAACATGTGAAACAAGACGTAGCCCAAATGGCGGAGAGTTTGGTTTGAGCCGCGACCTCAAGGTCGTGTCTTCAATCCCTAGCTCCGTCGGTAACGCATACTGAAAGGGCAAAACCAATCTCGAGGTCGCGTGCTTGATCTCTAGCTTCGTTGATAAGGCATGCTTAATAAGCAAATCCCACCTTGTAGACTTGTAGTAGCACCCCCATCCCCCACAAGTAGATGGATAAAAAAAAAAACTTTGTAAATTGGCCCACTCGTCCAACCCGACTTAACCTATATGTATTTATCGCTAATATTAAAGTTTAATCACATTCGGATACTGATATGGAGCATATAGGAAGAATAGCTGAAATCCCACAAAGCTCCAAACCCAAAACTGGCTTCACAAATCACAATAGCACAAATTTTAATTACGAATGGAAACAAAGGCGTTGAAATACTATTTATAGGCCTGGTCAAAGATTTGATTTGTTTATTGAGTTGTTGGCTGTTGTGTTATATACCGGCTCTGACCACGACAAGCTAAATGCTAACCACGACAAATCCCCCGGCAAACAAACAGTAACTGTAGTTCAGCGCCACGTATGATCTCTAAGTCTATCCGTAAAAGATAGAATAAAATGTACATATCCTTACAAATACACTCTTATATATATATTATCAAAGATGTAACAAAAGTATTTTTTAGTCTAAAATTCCGTTGATTAACGGTTAAAATAGCAGGAAATTATCATATTGGCCTAACACGTAATTAGATAACGATAAGTGCATTCCATAGTCGGGAATGAGGCTAACACGTTCTAATTGACTTCTAACCCATTTATTAAGATCAGAACTCTAGGCATCATGAAGAGGTCATGATATGGAAGTTAGCTTCTGCTGGGATCCAGTACCACAATCCACATATAGCCTTCGATTTTTAACACAGAACTAGTAGCATGTTAGGAGAAAAATTAATGCATTATTAATAGATTCATCTTTGACTTCTTTGGACAACGAGTAATAACATGTTTCACAACACTCAGGAACAATATTTGAATGAGGGTATTTGATGACATTTTGGGGAACCAACTAGATTAAGCTACTCTACTTTCTATAGAAGTTCAGTGAAAGTTTCAAAAACTAAAAACTACGGCTACAACTACAGAAAAAAAAAGATAAAGTTAACATAAAGTGTCAAAGTGTTGTTTTTCGAAACCCTTTAACAAAATTTTCAAACAAGTCTCTGCCTCTCTGTACCGATCACTGCGTTCATCATCATCATCAAACATTCATCACTTGCAAATAGTAAAGGCCACATTCAAAGACTATAAATTCGTCTCTACTGTTAATTGCTTTGCTGGACCAAAATTGCAGAGATTTCCCAACCACTCACATGTCATGGCTCTCTCTTATTGACTCAGCCCATAGATCTTCAACCATCCAACTATCTCCAAGATACACATATCTCATCATGTTTACCTCATCATTTTTTTCTTTGTTGTGAAAGCACGGAGAGATCCATGATTAATAAGTAAAAAATCGACATTAATTGATAAGACGTGTTTTATGGTGAAATGGAAGAGTTCTTGTAAGAACTTCAAAATTAAATATGCTAACTTTGAAGCACTGCAAAGATGGATCACCTTATGGAAAATCATATTGATATGCACTTTAAGATAAAAATCACGAGGGTTTAAACCCGAAACATGCAATATCTTGTCGAAAAGGGGTTCGGAATGTTACATCCCGTTTAGTATCATTTTGTTGTTGTTGTGGTTGCAGTGGTGTTGTGTAAACAGATGTACAACCACAACAGGAAAAAAACAGAAAACACAAACCTGTTTAGTTGATAAATCTGAAAAATCATGAAAGCTGAAAACAAGAAACAAAAACGCGTTTAGTTACTATTATAAGAGGTCGCGGCGGCGCGAGGCTGTTGAGTAGGGGAGGCCCGGCGGCTGCTGTTGAGCAGGGGAGGGGAGGTCGAGGCGGCGGCTTTTGAGCAGGGGAGGGGAGGTGGGGCGGAGGGTCGGGAGGGTGGAGGTGGCCGGTCGGGAGGCGCGGAGGGTCGGGAGGGCGGAGGTGGCCGGCGTGGAGTGGGGAGAAGGCGCCGGCGTGTATGGCTGGAGGGGAGAGCGGCGCCTTTGTTTGAGACAAAATGGAGAGGTTGGGGGCGGCTGAAGTAAGTAGGGTTGGAGGTGGTGTTAAATTCTTTTTTTTTTTTTTGCTTCTGTGGGGATTCGAAAACTGATATGTTTTAATGAAATCAAGCGCCCAACCAGTAGGAATCCCGTGTGCAACATGTTTAAGAATCAGATCCAAAGCTATAAATTGTTGTTTCTCATATTTGGGCCTTGTTGTGCAACTCTGATTCACAACAAAAAATAAAAACCCAACTAAACACGATTTTTTTTCTTTGTTTTCCAAATATCTTAAAATACAACAGAAAACAAAAACAAGCAACAATACTAAACGGGCCTTTAGAGTATCTCAATGTTTTCAAAACGGTATTCATTAAGAAACAGAAACTAATGGAAGAACGGTTCAACTTTGAATCTGTCTCTGTCCTTAAATTATAAGGTCAAATAGGTGGATGGCCACAAATGCAAAAAGATGCACTGCCCACGATTAAGCCACTACCACTAATCAAGATCCAAATCCCCATGAGCCATGACTCTCTCAATTCTTTATTAGGAGCAGCAGTTGGATTAGATTTGCCACACATACAGAGTCACAGAGATAATTATTCTTGCTAATTAAGTTTAAAGCTTAATGATCACCATCTTTGTCATCCAGCGCATTGGATTGGAATTTCCCATTTTGTATCTTATAAAATTAACAGGTTAAATGGGGTCATTTTGCCAAGTATCAGAGTTATTCAATGTCTCCAATACATAAGAGAAACAAAATGATAGTAACATGTTACAATGTTAGACAATTGGTTTATGATTGATCATAGGAGAAAGAAGCAAAAAATCAATTGATCATTAGACAAGTTATATATTGATTATAAATGATTTTGGTAGATTTTCTTCCTCTCAAGTGGATATTATCGTATAAATGTGAAGAACAAATTAAGTAAGAAAGATGTGAAATCTGGATGGATTCAGTCAAGATAATTGTTACATAATTTGAACTTGAGATTGAATGACCCAATTACGCTCGAGAAGTTTGTGGTGTCGAGATGCGACTTTAAATGAAACCGTACCAAGAGAAGATTTCATGCATGGAGGGGATCCAATCACAAAGTTCCCAATAGACCAATACTATATTGCTTGCATACAAACAAATGCTTGGTTTAGTGGTACTACCATTGGTTTTCAACCTATAGATTCAAGGTTCGAATTCTTTATGTAACACCGACGTCGAAAAAACAAACCTATGTGTCACCCTTATAAAAGAGTACTACATTGCTTGCAGGGACCTTGAGAGTTTGGGAACCCAATTACATTGGAGGCTATGGGTTCTAGAACTGATTGAGACAATTGGATAGAACTAGAGAGCACCATCTATACAACAACACATCTGCAAATTTGTTACCAAAGATATGGAGCAACCTCCACCATTTATATCACTTGAATCAATAGTCAATGATTTTGGTACTCTCTATGTAGAAAATCTTGCCTCCCATTTGATTTCTTTGCAACAATAAGCTTAGGGTAGGTGAAAATCATACTAGTTCCTACTTGTAACACATTTTAGTTAATAATAATAAATCAATTAATATAATGATCAAATTTCCAGCCTAGCATATTACCAAAGGAAACAGCTCTCTCTCTGTCAATCTGTATCAGTAACTTTCCTTCCTTTCCCTTCCAATATACCGTTGAGAGACATTTATCAATAAATGTTGAACCAAAGATCTCTTCTTTTAACTTTCTTCCCATCTTCCCATTATTGAAAATTGTAGAAACTAATCAGGGAATAAATATTAATAAAAAGAGGGTATCTTGCAAAAAAGTAAAAAAAAAACCCCCAGCAAACTGAAGAAGCAAAAATATGGAGCTGCAAAGGAAATGGAAAAGATCAAGGAAAGGAAGAATATATAGAGAGAAAGAAAGGAGTGTTCTTTTGATCTTTTCCCTTTCTGAATCGTGTAAAGAGTAGAGTAGGGGAAGTGTCAGAGAGAGAGAGAGAGAGCTTAGCTGGCGAGAGAGCGGGATAGCCGGAAAGTCAAACTTCCTCCTTCCACCACCGTCATCGCCGCCGAATTCCGGCGGCCGCCTGCTTACCAAACCTACCCGACCCGCCGTAAACCCATTTCATTCCTTCCTTCTTCCACTGTCATTTTGCCTTTCCATTTTTAACTTCGAAAGCCCCCATTTTTATTAACCTCATTCGTTTTGATTATTTTGATTTCTTTTTGGGCCTTCTCCCGTTTCCCTCTTTGTCAACTGAAGAGATTGTGGTGTGCCAGAAGGGAAGAGAGAGACGGAGGAAACAGAGCAGGTACAGAGAAAAATAGTATTTGGTAGCCAACAATTTGTTTTCTGGGGGAAGGAGAAGAGAAGAAGTGGGCAACGACGCAAATTGGAAGCAACTAATTTTGTTTGCGAGTGCTTCCTGAGGTACAAGGAGAAAAAGAGAAGAGTTGAAGCTTTTATTTATTGTTTTTGTTTGGTTTAGCTTCGTGATTGCGGTGAAAGGAAATTCAGTCCCACATTTCGTTTTTGGTCTCTGCTTCTCTTCCAAATTCTCTGTGGGTTTTTTGATGAATGGGTACGTAGAATTTGATATGGGGAAAAGGGTATTCGAGTTGCTCCTGCACTGTCCATAACAAACAAAAAGGAGAGGAGCCATGGTGGATCCCGCCAGTGTGAAAGCATTCACCCTTATTGTACTGAATCTGGTGGTGTTGTTTCAGCCGACATTTCAGCAGCAGCAGCAGCAGCAGAGGCTTAGTTCAAGGATTGAGCGAGCTGCCCTGTTCCAACTCAGGTCTAGTTTGGGTATAAGGAGTAAAGAATGGCCTAGAAAGGTTGACCCTTGCTTGGCTTGGGTAGGCATCAAATGTGATAATGGTACTGTTTCTGAGATCGACATTTCTGGGTTCAGGAGGACTAGGGTGGGTTCACTGAACCCTCAGTTTGCTGTCGATGCACTTGCCAATTTCACTAGCTTGACTTCCTTCAATGCCTCTCGATTCTCGCTTCCTGGCTCAATCCCTGATTGGTTTGGTCAAACACTGTTCAATCTCCAGGTTCTTGATCTCACCTCTTGCTCTATAATCAATGCTGTTCCTGCTAGTTTAGGAGGTCTGACTAGCTTGATTCGACTCCATTTGGCTGGTAACAGTTTGACGGGTACCATCCCTTCCACTTTGGGTCAGTTGCTGCAGCTTTCGGTTCTTGATCTCTCACGAAATTTGTTTACTGGTACAATACCTCCTTCGTTTGGTTCCTTGGCGAATTTGACAAGTCTCGATATGTCTTCGAACTTCTTGGCTGGATCGATTCCTCCTGACCTTGGGACATTGTCCAAGCTCACGAGCTTGAATCTTTCCAATAATAGTTTGTCATCTTCAATACCTACTGAGCTTGGGGGCCTTGTTAGTTTGGAAGACCTTGATCTCACCCGCAATTCATTGACCGGAGGACTGCCTGTTGAGTTAAGTGGGCTGATTAATTTGCAAAGCCTGCTGCTTGGCAACAACTTCTTAGGTGGCCCTTTGCCAGCCAGTCTGTTCGCTAATCAAACTAGGTTGCAGAATGTGGTTCTCAGCCAAAATGATTTCACTGGTCCTATTCCTAGGGAGCTATGGTTAATGCCTGCATTGCGCTTGCTTGATATCTCTGGTAACAATTTCACAGGTATGCTGCAAGATATTGGCTTGACTTCTGGAAACACTAGTGTAGCAGTAGTAAATATATCATCAAATCAGTTCTATGGAAGTCTTGGACCGGTGTGGAGAAGATTCAGTTCTGTTGATCTGTCTGGTAACTATTTTGAAGGCGTGGTTCCAGATTATGTGCTTAACAAGGCATCTCTCAATAGAAATTGTCTCCAGAATGTCACGAATCAGAAGAACTTGTCTGATTGTTCGTCATTTTACTCTGATCGTGGGCTGACTTTTGATAATTTTGGGCTCCCAAATTCTACACAACCTAGAACTTCAGGGAAGAAGAGCAAGAAAAACATTATTATATTGGCAAGTGTACTCGGAGGACTAGGACTTCTGCTTTTAGCATTTTTCTTTGCTCTGTTGCTTTTCTGCTGTCGTAAGAGAAACGGTTCAAATCAAAGAGGGGTTGCTGTTGAGCCCGCTCCAGCCTCAGGGACTGCTCCACCTCCGCCTCCAGAGGCATCGATTAACTTATCGAGTTTGGGGGATACATTCACGTATCAAGAGCTGCTTCAAGCTACTGGTGAGTTTAATGATGCAAATCTCATCAAGCATGGCCACTCTGGAGATATATACCAAGTTGTCTTGGGAAGTGGAATCCCTGTGGTGGTTAAAAGGATTGATTTGAGCGCTGTTAAGAAGGAGGCATATCTGATCGAACTTGATTTTTTCAGTAAAGTTTCACATCCTAAAGTGGTGCCACTTTTGGGACATTGCTTGGAGAATGAAAATGAGAAGCTTTTGGTGTACAAGTACATGCCAAATGGGGATTTGGCGAGTTCATTGTTCAGGAAAACTAGTTCAGAAGATGATACATTGCAGTCACTGGATTGGATTACGAGATTGAAAATTGCTATTGGTGCTGCTGAAGCTCTTTCTTGCCTGCACCATGAATGTACGCCGCCCATTGTGCACAGGTACTTGATATTCTTTCTGCTCGTTTGATTCATTGTTTTTGTTCTGAAAATAACAGTAGCTAAGTTTTCTAACATAGAAACAATTGGTTTGTTAAAGATTTAAGTTCCGTGTTCCTCTGTAAGCCCATAGTAGTTGCTTCTTAATACGTTGGTTTGCATGCATCACAATCAATACATTGTAGATCCTACTGGAAAGTTTTGTGTAATCTAATGATTGCTCCAGGAAAGTAGTAGGCAAGATTCTAGTATTACTTTGAGAATGGAAGATTGATATATGAAATCTAGGTCCAAACTTGTTATCTATTCCATATTCATGTGCATAAGCCTCCTTGCTGTATGTGTGGAAAAGATGGCAATTGTCAAGTTGCACCCCAACTTTCATCGGAGATGAATTGTCCTGCAAATAGCTGATCCATAGGCTACAGATTTTGCTACATGCCAACATGATCAGTGGAGATTGTGATGGAAAACGTTTGAGTACTTCAAGCTGATGATTGAAGTGTTAAGAATGCCATTTTCCTTTACTTATCTTGTGATGTACCGTCTCTTGACTGTTGTGTTCTGGGATTCTCGTACCAATGCATGCTGCATAGTTATGTGGTGTTGATTGTTCAGTGACTAAAACCATTACTCTTTTGATTCATTGAAGAGATGTTCAAGCAAGCAGCATACTTCTTGATGACAAATTTGAAGTAAGATTAGGGAGCTTGAGTGAGGTCTGTGCTCAAGAAGGGGATGTTCATCAAAGCAGGATCACCAGGCTGCTGCGGTTACCGTAAGTATTCAAACTGACTTTAACCTTGTCATGAAAGTTTAACTGTCACAGTGAACCATCTTCTGATCACTAGCTGGGTCTATCTTTTCCTATTTCATACTTATGACGACTCTGAACTTATGGTTTTCATCAACCCACCCTTGGTGGCATCTTGTCTATCCTGGATAGTATTATGTTTTATGTATATTATATGTCACCTTTCTCTTGCTTGATCAAGTCTGCTAATTAGATTTCTCCTTCACAATATGCAGGTCTTCCGATCAAGGAACTTCTGGTACGTACTGGATCTCAACTTCTAAAGAATTTCGTTAAACTACTACACCTTAGATTACCTATCTCACATAGCAGCTTTATCTTATAATTCATTCCTATTGACCGGTTCGATTCTTAAAGTAATCTGTTGAATTCATCCAGGTCAACCGACAGCCACGTGTGCCTATGATGTCTACTGCTTTGGGAAAGTCCTTCTCGAGCTAGTGACAGGAAATATCGGCATTAGTGCTGCAAGTGATGCCCAACTGAAGGAGTGGCTAGAACAGATCATCCCCAACATAAGCATGTACGAGAAGGAACTCGTTGTTAAAATCGTGGACCCATCTCTAATCATCGACGAAGATCTCCTGGAGGAAGTTTGGGCCATGGCTATAGTAGCAAGGTCATGCCTGAACCCCAAACCTTCGAGACGGCCCCTAATGAGATACATTCTCAAGGCATTGGAAAACCCTCTGAATGTAGTGAGAGAAGAGACTACAGAGTCTGCAAGGCTAAGAACATCCTCGAGAGGGTCATGGAATGCTGCTGTATTCGGTAGCTGGCGTCAGGCATCTGATGTAACGGTGGTACCTCCAACAGCTTCCACCAGTCGGCGGCCAGAGGGAGGAGGAGGCAGTTTTAAAAGGTCAACAACGTCGAAGTCAAACTCGCAGTCGCAGGGGAGTGGTGGTGGGCAGAATGGTGGGGGTGGTGATCATTCTTCTTCACACAGACGGCATTCCAGGGATATTTTCCCCGAACCAGCTGAAGGCCAACAAGATATAGAGAGGCAAGAACACGAGTAGGGACGCACGAGAGAGTGAGAGAAATGTAGATGTGGGTAATGGAGATTCTTTGTTAATAAGATGGCAGCAGCAGCAGCAGCAGGCTTTCCTATTTCAGAGTGCCTGCTTGCTTGCTGGGTTTCCCTGGTGTGGATGAGTCATATTTTGTGGGGTTTTTTTGGTTGCCTTGGTGGTGAAGGAATTAAATTTCAGAAGCTGGTTTTTGTTTCATGGCAGTGATTTGAGGGTTTGATGGGAGATCACTGGTGCAGCAGGTCAACATTATTTGTTTGGCAGTTTAACGGTTATTGAACAGAGCTGCCATTTTTTTTTCCTTTTGAGTTCTGTAAGTGGGGTTTCTTTGTTCTTTTGTTGTTTCTTCTTTTAGTGGGGCAGTCTTTGGTGCTCTGCAATCATTGTAAAGGTGTAAACTTTGTTAAGAATCTGATGATACTGAAATTGGGTGGGGGATTCTCAGGGGTTCTTCTTAAGTTATCTCTTGGAGGGGGAAAAGATATCGTGGAAAATAACAGACAAAAAAACAGATTTGTACACTTGTTAGTTTCCTGTTCCTGTTGTTTTTATCATGTTCTTGAGTTTAGTAATTGTGCATTTGTGCTACTCCTTCCTTAGAAAGAAGAAAGACTAGCTGAGAATTGATGGGATTTGAATACATTTCGATATCCTTGTTCGTATTTGTCATCTCTCAACGAATAATTGAAGGAGAAGAAGAACATACAAGTTCGAAACTCGTAAGATTCAAATTGGCTATTTTAAAAGACAGAATGAAAGTTTGTGAAATTTGAACAGACTACTTAACTGTCACAATCTTGTTACTGATATAGCTAGATTGATTAGGACAAGGAGAAATAACAAATAGAGAAGTGAGAACTCATAAGATTATAAATTTAGAATTGACCACTTCAAATTATAGATTGAAATTCCCCAAAATTTCACATTATTACCTGAAGCTAGCTATCCTACATTGATGTTGCTAGACCAACGCTAAAAGAAAATGGAAAAAAAAAACTGAAAATTTATAGAACTCAAACTCACTATCTGAAAATCATCAATTTATTATCCTCTCGTTGATATTGCTAATCAATAACATTTTTGAAAAATATTTTAGCACATATGAAAGGATTGTTGCATGTTATTTGTTGAATACATGAATTTGGCTTTTTTAGCCAAAACGGAGCAGAAAAAGTGAAAAAAAGGAAGGTCCCACCGAGATTTGAACTCGGGTTACTAGATTCAGAGTCTAATGTCCTAACCACTAGACCATGGGACCTTGTTGATACAAATATTGTCAACAAGAGATAATATTCATTAATGATCGCCAAGCTGACGTCAATCTCCCCCTATCCGTTGCTTTCCTTTCTTGCCGCTCCAATACCACACTGCCATTCTGCAACCATGCTCTCTTGCCCGCACTACCACTCCTCCTTCCACCTCCACCGCAATCCCCCCGCCGCCGTTACCGTCACCACCGCCGCCTTCTCCATCTCCGCCTCTCTCCCACGCCGCCAGAATGTCCAATTCTCCAACGATTCCTCCCCGGCGGCGACCAACACCAACTCTCCTCCCCCTCCGCCACAGCCAAAGGACCCAATTCTCCGCACACACAACGCCAAAACCGCTTCCCTCCTCTCCCGCCACCTACATCACGATCCCTCTCCTCCTGCAGCTCCCCAGCTCCCCGAATTCCAGCAACAGGTCTTCCCTCCCGAGGAGCAAGTGAAGCGTCAAGAGCTCTCCCTCCTCGCCACCAGGCGAGCTCCCAGGTTCCCCGGCTCCATTTCCTTCGACTCTCCCACCTCCTCCGCCGCCTCTCCTCTTCAAACCCTGTTCGTCAAGGACGCAGGATCGGCCGAAGACGAGGACGATGGTGGTGGCGTGGACGACGAGACGATAATCAAGGCCGTCGAGATCCGCAGGAAAGTCACTGCCGAGATTTTCCAGCAGGCGATGAAGAGGGGAAAATTTGGGTTGACGTATGCCTCCAATTTGGCTTCCAAATTGGGGGATTTCCTCGATTTCGTTATGATCGAGGCCGCGGAGATGAAGAAGCTGCGGCAGTTCGAAGGTTCCAGCTTCAATCTTCGAGCGAAGATCGTCATTGAAGAACTGGAAGTTGTGTCACTTATCAGGTATTGGCTGATGGAATTCTTGAGTTTGGTGTCAATTGACATGCCATTAGGGCTTGGTTTGAAGCACAACGAGTTGTGAATTGTGATTGCAGAGTTGTGATTCTAAATGCAGGTGGTTGAAGCACAATGAGCTGTCCTACCCCAAGATAGCTAAGCTCATAAACATGGCGAGAGGCCGGCTCGACACTGTCAGGCGGCTTGCTGTCTGGCTGAAGATGATTCACGTGAAAGGCGAGTTTCTGGGGCCTGTGCTGACCAAAGCAGGGGGGAATATTTTGGAAAGAAGCATTGAGGAATTGGATGAAATCGTCGGGTACTTGGAGCGCAATGGAGTGAGGAGAGATTGGATGGGGTATGTAATGAGTCGATCTCCGCCATTGTTGTCTTACACAATGGAAGAAGTGAAGGCCCGAGTTCGGTTTTTCTTGGACATGGGTATGAATGAGAAGGATTTTGGGACAATGGTGTTTGAATATCCTAGGGTCCTTGGTTATTACAGTCTTGAGGAGATGAACCAGAAGGTAAAAGAAGAATTTGGGTTTGGTAATTTCATGTTTTTACACGAGCTATTGAGTTGGTGATGCATTTTCTTGGTTCATTCAGGTTGGTTATCTGAAGGAGTTTGGGATCAGTGATCAAGATGTTGGAAAACTCCTAGCATTTAGACCACAGTTGATGGGTTGTAGCATTGAGGAGACATGGAAACCTCTTGTTAAGTACTTTTACTATCTTGGAATTTCCAGAGATGGTATGAGGAGAATGCTTATGATCAAACCGATGATTTTCTGTGTCGATGTCGAGAAGACCATAGTGCCAAAGGTACACATGTTTGAGAGTGAAGCTCTCAGTGGTCATATTATGCATCAACTTTGAACAAGCATTAATGAATTGTATTTCTGAAGGTACGGTTTTTTCAAGACATCGGGATTCAGGATGATGGGATCGGAAATATGCTCGTCAAGTTCCCTCCATTGCTTACCTACAGCCTGCACAAGAAGATCCGGGCAGTGGTTTGTCCTTAACTCATGTAACTTACTTCTGTGGATAACCAATGCTCTCTTACAGAGAGATGGTGATGGAATGTGGGTTATGATGCACAGGTAATATTCCTGATGACAAGAGGTGGGGTTAGCGAGAGGGACATCGCCAAGGTTATAGCTTCAGGGCCCGAGCTCTTAGGGTGTAGCATAGTGCATAAGCTCGACATCAATGTCAAGTATTTCTTCTCCCTTGGTATACGCCCTCATTTGCTGGGGGAGATGGTTGCAGACTTCCCCGTGTTGCTGCGGTACAATGTGGAAGTCCTCCGTCCAAAGTATCGGTACTTGAGGCGGACTATGGTTGGCAGCTTGCAAGATGTAATCGAGTTCCCAAGGTATGAGAAACTCCAGACACGCGTGGATACTCGGAAAACGAATACCTTCCATTTACCAATGTCGTTCTGATGTTTTTGTTGCAGGTTCTTCAGCTACTCACTTGAGGATCGGATAATGCCGCGGCATAAGGTATTGGTGGAGAAGCAGATAAACATGAAACTGAGGTACATGCTAGCATGCAGCGACGAGGAGTTTGAGAGGAAGGTGGAGGCTATTCTGGAGAAGAGACGAAGTTTAGAAGCCGGTCGACTAGATCAGAAAGATGAGCATATAGGCTCCCTCCAATTATCATGAGCTGGATGAGATGATGGACTTGGAACGAGGGCTACCTGTTCCAGTACAGTCTGTTATCACCATTCCCCACCTTTCATGTACATAAAAGAACTTCAAGAGCTAACTTGATACATTCATAATGCACAACATTGTATTGTAGATGAAATCCACATTAGAAATTCCCTTAGTTACACCAGGAGACTCGGCTAATTCTCTTCACATAATAATAAGATTATTATGACGAAAATTATTGAGGTAATACCGGAACTTGCATCTAGAGAACACCAAGTGCCCTCCCAACAATTACAGGGCAAAGCATAACTTCACGATCAAATATCATCAAACTACAACGGCGGAAATCTGAATAGCTTTCAGTCCCTACAGGCAGTTCCTTTTATTCTCCATGTTCAAATTAAGGTGAACAACTGGCTTTAAATGGCACTCTCAGCGACAGACTCTCTGACCTGAGGTTCTTGGCACTCTCAGCGATAGAGACTCTCAGACCTGAGGTTCTCGGCAATCTCAGTTTCCCAACGGTCACCATTCTCGAGCAGCTTCTCCTTGTCGTACAAAAGCTCCTGAGACAATTCAATTCCGCATTTTTAGGGCATTGCCTCCCTCATTGGTTTCTAAGGTTACTACGGTTAAAAGCATATGGTCCAAACCTCGTGGGTTTCGGTGGCAAATTCGAAATTTGGTCCTTCGACAATGGCATCAACAGGACAAGCCTCTTGGCAGAATCCACAGTAGATGCACTTGGTCATGTCAATATCATACCTGCCATAGAAATCAAGGGTAAGAAGCAGGGAGGGAAGAAAAATTCTATTGCCCACTACAAAGAGGAGAGACAGAAAGACAGTGAGCAACAGTCTCACCGAGTAGTCCTACGGCTTCCATCTTCTCGTTCCTCTGCCTCAATTGTGATGGCTTGTGCGGGGCAAATCTGGAAACAGTTAAGAGTTATGGGTCAATGGACACAGTTCGCTCACGGGGCAGTTGTTTATCATAAAATGCAGCAGCCTTTAGTGAACTTGTCACCATATTTAACTATTGAAAATTAACAGACTGGTCAAGATTTCAGGTTGTGGTTTTTCGAGTCACATACTCCATGCATACACAAAAAATGCATCCAATCAGTTCTGAGAGTTGAGTTCGCAAGTTGCCAAAACTAGATACAGGTAACAGAAATTTGCTGGTTTCTAGAGCTAGTGCAGTAACATCATGCAACCACTTCACGGGCTTCATGGTCATGGATCCCAGTTACATCATAACTAAGAGATTGAGTGTCTTATAGAGAAAGTTTATAAACCTAAACATTGCATTAGGAGGGTTTCGACACTTACAGCTTCACAAAGCTTGCAAGCAATGCAACGTTCCTCTCCTGTAGGATATCGGCGGAGAGCATGCTCTCCACGGAACCTAGGACTCAAAGGACCCTTCTCAAACGGGTAGTTGATCTACACAACAGACAGCGAGGTAGAGATCATAATCATATTAAATCCATCACTTAAGAGTATGTCAGAAACGTGGGGGAGGGTACAAAAGACACTTACAGTAACTTTTGGCTCAAAGAAGTACTTCAGGGTCAACGACAACCCACGGACCATTTCGGTAAGGAAGAGTGTGTTAATGCTTCTCTCAAACACTGCATTGAGATCAATTGTTAAGTTTACAAGCAAAACACTGGTGACAAAATTTAGAGAACATGTTTATGACAACACATCTTACCAGAATTCCAATCCTTCGAAATTTCCTTTGCAAGTTCCTCTCTCTCTATATCCTCTACATTCACAACAAAGTCATCAGCGAGAAATAATTAGTATGGTAAACATCAATTGTGTAACAATAGCTAAAGCACCAATATTGTGGTAGGCAAACAGACTTTGGAAGTTCATGCCTTCCTAAGATCACTACAGAATGAATATAACGAAAATTATCAGTCTTCCCATGAGAACGGTTCTTCGAGCATTAAAGGATAAAAAAACCATCCTTCCTCCTATTCTTTGACACACTAGACAAAGAGAGTTCGTACATAGATGAGATGAGAACACAGTACTAATCCAATTATTAGTTTTTCTAATGAACTGGATATTTACATTAGTATAAGCTTTATCCAGCAACATGATGTGTCGAGACTTTACAAGGATCAATAAATAAAACCCAAATATAATCGTCCACCCCTAATTCCTAAATTCTTTTTGAGTCATGCATGCTATACCTTCCACCCATTGTGAATATATGGCTCACCTCTGTCAGTTGAATATAAAGCACTGGATCGCATGGCATACAGAGGTGAGGCCCGCAATGCCTGACCAGATACAACCTGTGAGAAAGGAAGGTACAAAATGTTATAATATATAAAACCAAGCAACTAAATCTAGTTCAGAACCTAAAAGTGAAAAAGTACAGCAAGCAGCCAAGGAAGAAGCAATGAGAAGAAATTGAAGGCAACAAAATGCAGGTGAACTTATGTATACAGACATAATTTAAAGGTAGAACATAAGTGACTAGTCTGTAATTCGGACGACCGTGGCGAAACTTTTCACCATTCTACAACTAGTGTGACTTGTCATACAATAATCTATGCTTGTTTATTTTGCCTTCAGGAGACTAGAAAAGCCATTAACCCAAGAAGCAAGTTGTCTCCCTTTGCTACCACATCAAAACTGCAGGTTAACTGTCAACTAATGGAGGTGAACCTAGTCCCTTGATCTCATGTTATTTTTAGTTACGAGTGACAAACGACCCCAATTCAGTGCTAATGCAAAAGGTATTGATACAGCCAAGGTTTCTAATACTTTACCATGCCACCCATCACCAAAAAGTGACATTCAAGACCGGGGGACAGGTATCGAGCATCAAGAGTAAATTAACCAGTATCTTCTGCGGCATGAGAACCTTTCTTGGCTTGAAACACAAACCCAACAGCTCAAGATAGGCAGTGTGACTCTATCCTCTGCAAAGTTACTTACCAGACAAAGAAAAAGGGGTTCTAGAAATATTTATTATCAATTACAGCCCAGAATCCCCCGAACAAATAAGTAAATCCTCAAAAGCTTGAGGATCTATTCCATCTTACGACCACAAGCACCTGTCAACTCCAGTTGGCAGCATTTCTACTCCCCCGAATCTAGCCTCTTCTCAAGAGCCTTCCTTCACATTACTATACGACTCAGAGTGAGGAATCCAGAAAAACTGTAGCATATTTATTGCTATGTAGTTGAACGACTCCAAACTAGAAGAATTTACCATGCGCAAATGGAGCGTGAAGCCAGAACTCTATCATCAATCCCGTCAGGATGCGGATAAAAGACATTACTATGCAAACAAAAAATGTTCCCTTTGACCCTTACAATAGCTTTCCAACGAAGTTGGAAGGCCTCTAAGCGATCCATGAAATGAAAAGCGAAGTAATCACTCGCTTGGAATTTCTCACATAACTGAGACACCGATCACCCTCTAAACACGAGGGGGGGAATTATAAAATTGTCAAATCACACAGAAAACCTAAAAGCACTACGGACCAAAGCCGCAAAAGAGAAGGAAGAGAATCGACGGGGGATTACAAACAGCGGGGATGAAAATTGAAGAGCAATACAGAAGAGAGTTTTGCTTACCAGCTGCCGAGCGCGGAGAGCGGAGAGAGACTTTCGAGCTAAGATGGCAGCCATTTCTCAGCGAAGCAATTAGGCGATCTTGTGCCTGTCTCCTTCAACCTCCCTGCTCGATCCCGAAAGCAGCAGAATAAACTGAAGACACTTCGCAGAGCTGAAAATATTTTGTTGGAGAGAGATCGGATTGTTCGCTGATTCGTTCAATTGATTTACGGTCTGAAAGCCGGGAGAAATCTGGGCTTGGAGTTTAGGCCTGCCGGCCCAACCCAACTGACTTTGAAGGCGGTGCGTTTTATGAAGCTTAAGCGGCCGCGTATGCTCCTTTAGGCCTGGGTCTCTCTCGCGGTGTTACCGGCAGACAACGGTATCGTATAACCATTTTGATTTTTAAGAATTAATAGTATCAATTTTTTAACGAATTAATAATTAAGTGGTAACAATTTACATATCGTAGTTCGTTCTGTTCATACGTGAATTTCGTATTCTTTTCCTATGTATTAGTTTGATTTATCAGTGTTAATAACACTGTTATTGATGTGTCTCTACCCTAGTAGTTTTTTATTAGAGATATCGAAATATGAACACAATCGTTAAACTGCAACTTTATAATAACGCATGTTTTCAAAATACAACTATCAAACGATTTTTTTTTTTACTAAAAAACCTACAAACATTGTCCCGGGACAATTTGGATCATCCTAATGACTTTCACACGTCACAACATAGGTAATTATTAGCTTTGAGAAATTTTACCATGAGTAATTCGATTAACATACTATCCTCCTAAGTTGCACATAGCCAGAATTGTGTACTAATTATTTTTCGGCTCCTCTATCTTCATGGATAGGTGTAACATGAAAGGGTAGCAAGTAGGAATAGTGGGTAATTATCATAAACGTTCATAAACCTTTGTACTTAGTACAAAACAGTTATAAACCTTTAATTTGTAACGATTTGGTCACAAAAGTTTGAACTTGTACGAAATGGTCCCTTCTATTAATCTTCATCCAAAATTCTATTAGATTTATCTAGTCAGCATTCCACCTCATCAAAACAAATAATAAACAACTCCAATTTAATATATAAAACCAAGGTAAAAAATTGGTCAAAAGACGGTCAATCCCAATTTCATCACTCCCGCAACATCTTCTTTGAACCCCCTCGCCAGCGGCATTCATCCCGCTGCCTTATTCTTCTTCGTCGCCCATTCCAGCCAACATTGGGAGGGCTAAATTGAGCAGCAAGTCCAAAGCTTTCTTCCAACCCTCCTCTCTTAGTGGACGAATATGAACCCTAATTTTTGTTTCCCCTAAATCCCTCTGCAACTCCACCTTCCTTATAGGATATAATCCCAACCAATTCAATCCCATATCAGGAGGAGGAAGGGGGAAACAATGGGGAAACGAGACTCGACCCGATGCTTCTCCTCTCTCTCTCTCTCTCTCTCTCTCTCTCTCTCGTCTAGCAGGAGCATCAGCGCGACGGTAAAAAAAAAGAAAAAACTAGTGGCAGCGACTCTCGGCGGGAGTGGTGATGAGTTGAAGCAGGTCGTGCTCGTGGATACCGCCAAAACCAACTCGCCGCCGTGGAATCGCTGCGGCGTCGTGACCAGGGAAGACAGGGAGGATGAGGTGGAAGGGAAGATGAAGACGTGAGGCTGCGGCGGGGTGGATCAACCCAGGCCTTAATTTTTGGGTGGGTTGGTTCAGGGTAAATTTTTAATCAATAATTTGAATTTGTTTATTAATAGTTTTGATGAGGTGGTGCTGATTAAGCAAGGGAGATGGAATTTTGGACGGAAAGTGATGGGGTTATCATTTTAATATTCGCTCAAACATTTGTTATCAAATTTTTACAATTTAAAAGTTTGTAACTGATTTTTACCAAGTGTAAAGGTCTGTGACATGCTAATTACCCAGTAATCTTGTCACAACTTCAGATTCTTCAAATTTCAGCCACATGAATCGTCGGTAGCAAGTCCAAACGTGTAAAATGATGAATTTAATTCCTTCCTCTACCCCGCCCACTCCCTCACTCGCCTCCATCCTCTAATCATGGCGCATTTTTCATATCCCCTCACCGACATTGCCATCCCCTTCTGAGATCCATTAAGCTGCTTACTTCACTGACTACAAGTTCTGCAAAAACCAAAGCAAGAAGCAACTTCTAGCTAGTCCCCTGAACTCAGTCCTCCAATGGAGTCTCCGAACCCATCTACCGCCGGGAAGCCAATTAGATGCAAAGGTACAATTACAAACCAACAACCAATGTTGAACCAATAATCAAACCTTGTTTGTAACTTTCCATGTAGCTGCGGTCTGCCGAAAAGCAGGGGAACCGTTAGCCATCGAGGAGATAAACGTCGACCCGCCACGCTCCCGCGAAGCTCGGATTCGAGTCATCTGTACATCCATCTGCAACACCGACGTCAGCTTCTGGAGAATGACGTCGTCCCCGGGCGGCTTCTTCCCCAGAATCCTCGGCCACGAAGCCGTTGGAGTAGTGGAGAGCGTTGGAGAGGGCGTGACAGAGTTGAAAACAGGGGATACCGTTGTCCCTGTTTTCCTTCCCGATTGTGGCAGAGAATGTGCCGATTGTAGATCGGAGAATAGCAACCTCTGCTCCAAACTGCCGTTCAAGCTCTCTCCGGGGATGCCCAGAGACGGCACGAGCCGGTTCGCCGATCTTCGAGGGAATGTGATTCACAACTTCCTCTCTGTTTCCGGATTCAGTGAGTACACGGTTGTGGACGTTGCGCATCTCACTAAGGTTGATTCGTCGGCGCCTCCGGAGAGAGCTTGCCTCCTCAATTGTGGAATTGCCGCGGGTAAACTTCTTTTTCAGCTCGTTGATTTGATGCTCGCGTACCAAATACCTGTATAGAATGCGGTGTGTTTGAAGTGAAATAGTTAGTAGCTAGATTTACTTTTTATGAATTAGGTGTTGGGGCGGCTTGGAGAAAGGCGAATGTGCAGAAAGGGTCGACCGTTGCAATCTTCGGCCTCGGGTCTATTGGTTTGGCTGTACGTTGGAAGCTTTATCACTTCTGCTTGAATGTCACAAGGAATTATAAGAATTGGCTGCAGATCTCATTTGTGTGTTGTTCAACATTGCAGGTTGCGGAGGGAGCGAGGCTGTGTGGTGCTGGGAGGGTTATTGGGATCGATACATACCCAGAAAAGCTCGAGATGGGTGAGAATCAAATCGCCATGTGCTAGCTAGCTTAATTTGGAGAGCGTTCTGAATGGCAGATCCCCTGTTTCTGTCTTTTTTCACTATTGAGTTTCACAACAATGCAGCGAAGCAGTTTGGAGTGACAGAGTTCGTCAATCCAGTTGATTGCGGAGATAATTCGTTGAGCCAGGTTTGCCTCCTGCAAAACTGTCAGCTTGAGGAAAGTGGACGTTTGATCTCGAACTAATGGGACCGAATTGAACTTATCTCATCGTCAGGTGATCAACGAGATGACTGGAGGAGGTGCAGACAGTTGTTTTGAATGCGCTGGTTCTCCATCTTTGATGGAGCAAGCCTATGCTTCATGTCGAAAGGCATGCCTCTCTCTCTCCAACTCTGTTTCACTACCATCATTTTCATTACTCTGTTTTCCTTTTCTCGCCGTTCTTACTCTCTTTAACCAAGGTTTGCTACTCAATCAGGGATGGGGGAAGACGATAGTTCTGGGAGTAGGCGGAGAAGGGTCAGAGATGAAACTGCAATGCATGGACGTTCTCCAGAGTGGGAGGACACTTACGGGAGCACTATTTGGAGGCCTCAAACCCAAAACCCACATCCCAATTCTGCTGCAACGTTACATGGCCAAGGTTTTGAATCACAACCCTTTGCCTTTCTGCATTCAAGTTACTCGTTTGTTTGATTGATTGATTCTCGATGGTTTTGTGAATCCGTTTGCTACTTTTTTTGTTGCTGTTTTTGGGGGATTTCCTCATCATTGATCAGGAGCTAGAGCTTGACAAGTTTGTGACGCATGAGATGGAATTTGAGGATATCAACAAGGCCTTTGATCTACTTGTTGAAGGGAAGTGTCTCCGTTGTGTGATTTGGCTGTACCGCCCAGACCAGTCGGTTGCTTAATGCACCGTGTCGTGTGATTCGTTTTGAAACAAAATATTTCATGGAGTGACGTGTATGTTGTAACCAGGGGTTCTTAGGGTTTGAGAAAGCTCTAAATCCATTAAGGTGTAAAATTATACTACAATAACTAGATTAAGGTCCGATTCACTCGTCGGAAGAACTTAATTTAATAAGTGATATCTCAATTATTTATGTCACATGCAATTACTTAGAGAAAGAGAGTTAGGTACTCTCAATTCATTAAGTTGTAACATTATACTACACTAACTACATTAAGGTCTGATTCACTCGTCTTGTCGGGAGAGTTGGATTCTCTCATAAGTCATAAGTGAGAATCACATTAGCAATATACAAAATTATTAAATAATGTAACAAATACGTTAGTGAATTATGGGCTTTCAATATTTCAATTTTTCCCCGAATAACCCAACCTCCTATCAGAAATTAACACTATTATCATTGTTTTTCACAATTTATCTGGATTTTTGTTGCTTAATAGTGAAATTGTAGCCGGAAAAATGTGGTGTGAGAAAAATAAGTAATCTATCTGTTCATAACTATTAAGCATTCCATGCACATTTTATTGATTGAAGTATTAGGTGTGCAGGTTGATCATTTGATCTTCCATCTAAAGCTAATTTTGCATGGTATTGACAAATCATAATGTAATAACATTCACATACTTAGGTGATTTAAGTCTCTTTAGTACTACACTGACTTGTATGAACGGTTTTGGGTTTGGCTTACACAATATTATGTGTATTTTGTTGGTTATTGCACATGCAAGAAGGTAGCATGACCATTTGCGCAAGTGCCCCTTCACCATGGAAAAGTTAATATGCTAACTTGAAGATTCGTTAGCATATACTAACTGATATTCAAAATACATGAACTAATATCCAAGTACTAAAGTATCTAGAGAGCACAGACTAGTATTCAAAGTTTGCTAACTGATATCCACCATGAATCAACTATTATCCCAAATTCACAAACTAATATCTAGACAACACAGAATAGGGATGAGATTAGGTGCTAACCCTTATAGGGGTTAGCACCGTGATAACTAGCAAAAATCACTACGGATTATTATAAAATCAATACAACATCTAAGCTAAATCACTACTAATTCAAACTAGTATTAGTTTTTCCCTTAGTTAGGACGGTGCTAACTATTGTACAATTAGCACCGTAGCCGTTCCCCACAGAATAGTATCCAAACAGCACATAATTAGTATCCAGATAACACATAAGAGTATCCAGATAACCCATAAGAGTATCCATATTGAATACTAGTTGGTTGATTGTGGATATTAGTTGGTATCTGCTATCTGGATACTAGTTTGCGATGTTTTAAATACTAGTCTGTGCTATCTAGATACTTAGCAGACTTGGATATTAGTTCATACATTTTGGATATTAGTTAGTATATACTAATGAATCTTCAAGTTAGCAGAATAACTAGGCTGCCTTCACCATATAAAAAAAGTCTGGTTAGTTGGTTAGACTAGTTAGAGTCTATGACCAAATCAACCACTTAAATCACACTCAATAAGAATTTTTATAGAACCTAACTAGTAAGGAAAATTAACATAATCACAATTAATTATACGTGTCTGGTTGGTGCACCGCCCTGACAATTCATTTGTGCATGAATACTGTATTTTTTCCAAAATATGCCAAGAAGGGGTAAGCAAATGAAACTACATTACAAAACCGAGAACAACGACACACGGTAGTTCGTATGCAACCGAACTATCAATGGAAGAACCTTTTATTTCAAAACATATCAAAGAGCATCATTCTATGAGTCTCCTTAAATTAGATTTTTCTGTGGAAAAAGAACTAAAATCTTAGGTGAAAGGGGAAAAAATGTGGAGCATTTATGATTGATGGGGAAATGAAGGGGAGAGAGCATGACATGAGTAACATTTTGGTTGACTAGAAAGTTGATTTAGTTTATTGTTATTTTTAATTATTAAGAGTCTACTTTATCTCTCCTTTAATCACTCTTGTTATGATATTTTTGAAATGAAAAAAAGTTGTAATCTCCGTTAGACTGTTTTCATTGATGTATAGGGAGACTACGTAAGTTTTTTTGGTTCGCTGTCTAATATATTATTCATAAAATTGCAGGATTTTCTTCCAGAATCTAGAGAGGGGATACGGTTACAATCCCCTAAGGGGTTGTGAGATCCACAATCCATTTTGTAGTCATCGGATATTTTCTCTCTCTTATATCTTTTTTTTAAATTAATTATTAAAATTAAACGAAAGGTATTTTTGAAATGAAAAAAACTTACCACACTCAATTATAGACCCCTCATATAAGTGAAAAAACTCTAACTCCTCCCTCTCTCCCGCAAACGGCTCTGCCCCCCCTCCCCCTGGTCATGGCCTGCTGCACACCGTGCTCTGCACCGCCGCCGCCTCCACACCGTCTCGTGACCCTCCTCCTCCCTCCACCATCGTTGCACCGTCCCATAACCCTCCGCCTCCCTCAACCCCCGTCCCGCGATCCTCCTCCACCTCCTGCCGCGCCCTCCACCGCCTCCCTCCCCCTCTGTCACTACCATCTTGTAACACCCTCACCCGTCCGAGTACTAATTTTACCAAAATACCCTTGATAAACAGCGGAATCAAAATAAGAAATGCAAATACTTAGAAAAATAGCAAAAACTTTTCGTAGATCATCTTCAATAAAAACTGAAAACAACTTTCATTACTTAAACCCATAGCCCTAAAATTCGGGCAAACTCAAACCTTAAAATCTTAATCTCCAGTCTTACTACTAAACATAAAGTACAATAACTAGAAGTCTATGCGGATGCTTGCTCCAACATGAACGCAGACGTCCTCCTCGATGCTCGTACCGTCCTCCTCCAGATGGATCCCCTAGAACTGTTTCTCTCGCTCTCGCTGCCCTCTAACTGCTCCTCTAGCTCTTCCTTTTTAAACTGGTGAGTGAGTTGGGGTCAGTCTACGCCCTTACGATTGGAAATTTCTAATACTTGATCATTTAACTTAACTTGGTGGAAGTTGTTTTGGACTTCCACTATTAAAAATCTTAACTCTTAAAATTGTGCCCTTAAAGCTCAAATCTCAACTTAAATTCTTGACTGACACGGGGATTCCTCACTAGCTAGTCCGGTTGCCAACTCATACGTATGAGAAGCCATACATGTTTTCCTTAAACTTAAACTTAGTTAGGAAAGTCGTAACGATTTATCCCCTTAACATCTTAAACTTATCGTGGTGGCTCTTCACCACGATTCTCAAGAGCATAACTGTTGCGCAACTTAAATATCTCAAGAGCATAACTACTGCTCTGTCTCGAAGATCTCAAGAGCATAACTGCTGCTCTGTCTCGAAGATCTCAAGAGCATAACTGACACTAGTGACTAAAAACACTTAAAACGTCTTCACCTTCTTGAAGGTGAGTTACTTCTTAAAAAGTACTTGTTTCTTAAACCTGAACTTACTTGTAAGTAAAGCATGCAATAACACACAATTGAAAGCATATTCACACAAACTCACATGACATCATAGAAACACACAAAGGCAAGCATGGCACACATCAATCAATCTCAAAAACTCAAATACCGTAAGGCGTAGAATTTATCCCCTTTACACTCATCTTATTCTGCAAGTGATCGATTTGGGTTCCTTATGGACCTCTCTGATTTAGTTGCCAACTGACTCACTCCTACTGTCACTCTAGAAAATGGCCAAGTGAAACCACTTCCTAAAGCGTAGTATAGCGGGTTTGGGTTTTAATGTCAACCCGGGTCCTAGATGCGATGACTACTCAGTGAATTCTTATTATCTAGTGGTAAAACTTAAGTGCAGGTTCAAACAATCAAAAACACAAAGCAAGTTAAACGGTTGTTTCAAGTCGAGAGAGGTCACTCGGATATGGTTCCCCCTAGACTGCAGTTAAGCTGGATTGCAATTACCAAGTTCAGTTTCTTTGAAAGTTATACTGCGGAAGGTTCTTAAACAGTCTGAAGTCTCGACTAAAGGTCTCCAGACCCTCTCAATCTGAGTCTCTAGCGGGCGACTAACCTCTACCAGAGTAAACAGATTGAGGCCCTAACGAACAAAACCTCCTCTACCGAAGTAACTTCGGTACAGAATAGTGAACTGGCTCCTCGACTAAAGTCGCCAATTCACTACCTTCAATTAAGGGTGCTCTATCAACCTAGGCAGATATTCTCTTTCTAGGTTAAAGCAGAAACAACAGGAATTTGATCAGGATTCATGCCATTCAATCATTCAAACCTCAATTGAATATAATCAAATCATAGAATCTGTACTTGGGTTCATACAATCAGACCTAACATACAAATCTAGGGTTCTCCATACCCAGATGAATGGGAGAACTACTCCATGGATAAAGAAGCAAAAGCAGATTCAGATGCGGAAACCATACTGTGAAGGATGGATTTCTGCTCCTGGTTGTCGATCGGCACTTCTCCGAGCTCAAGCCGGGCTACAATGGTGATGAAGATCAAGCTAGGGAACTTGGGAACTCTTGTTCGTCGCTTTCTCTCTCAAGGAATCGCTCTGTCTCTCTAAAACTCGGATCTCCCTTCTCCTTTGCTGAAAATTGGCTTAAAACCAGAAATCCCGACTCACACGACCAGGCCACACGGCCGTGTGACTTCCCCAGCTGCCCGTGTGGCTTTGAAAAATGCGGCGTTTCGTTTAGTGACTTCAGGCTTCCTACGCGGCCACGACCCACACGGCCGTGTGAGTGTCCAGGCTGCCCGTGTGGCTTTTGCCGAGCCTTCACACGGCCACAGAGGGTCTCCCACACGGCCGTGTGGCTTTTGGGCATGCCTGTGTGGCTTCTCAGCTTCTCGCCAAGCGTCCAAACTTCGTCCAATCGACCCCGAACTCGTTCCTAAACCTTCATTCACGTACTAGGATATGAAATATCACAAACAAGAACAACCTAGCGTGAAATCGGCCTAAAACACGGGAATCGACATCTCAAACGGCTCAAGAATAGGGGTAAAAACATGTGTATTCAATGGTCTATCATACTCCCCCACACTTAACCGTTTGCTTGTCCCCAAGCAAACCTGACTCAAACCAATGCAACTCTCCAGACCTCTATAGCAACAAACAACCCCGATCGTCGGTAGAGGATTTTCTAGATCATATAGCAGCTTACGAGGTCAACTGGTCTTCTAAGACATTCCCTATCTCTCTCAATGCGAGTACTAGACTCAAGCCAGGATCATGAGAAGTAGTGGAAGTAAGACAGTCAGTTCATGGATAAAGGAACTCATATCATTCACCACCAAGGACTCGTTGTGTCGGGGTGCTCTTTCACTTCATTTCATCGTTGGAACCCCTTTTTCACTTTCACTTTACTTTTGTTTTTTTTTCATTCACTTAGCGGGGGTTCCAACTGCAGTCTCTTACACGGTCGACCCTTATTAGTCGAGAAAGAGCAATTTCTGTACATCTGGCGCTCGCTAGAGTACTTCTTTTAACTCCTTTTCCTCAACTCGTGTGGAGGGTCAATGAAATTAAGGGGGGTCGGAAGCTCTATCCGTGCCCTTAAAAACACATCCTCAAGTAGGCAAACCGTTCAACGGGTTGAAGTTTTACTTGTACTAGAGACGACTTAGCTTCACCTTGTAGGAGTACCCCACTAAGGATCACTAAAATCTCTTCCAAAACCCGATTTTGTGCAATGAACGGTGCTGCACACGTTGGGCTTACCCCATGTTTAAGATTTAATGATTTTGACATGGAGGACCAACTACATTTCATTTTTCACATGAGTACCCTGTTCGATACACGAGTCCAAAACACAATCCACATAGAGTCACCATTACCACATGAATTCAACGGTCCTAGCTCCACTAATTCACAAAATCAACTGGCACAACAAAGAGCTAGATAGGAAAAATCTTATACTTCAACATCCTCCATAGTGCTACACTACCTCTCTAGGTTGCATATTACTATAGGACTGTCAATTCAAAGCATACCGAGCAGGCAATTTGCAAGGAAATACGTACTTGGAGCCCTCAAATTTAAAAATTTGGACAGTGGACTAGGCATTAAGCACACAAACAGATCTAATGCAGTCAAAAGATAAACATCCCCCCCCCCCCACACTTAAGATCGACATTATGAGACTGGAAGCAGACCCGTCGAGTGAAGCGGACTGGAGATGGACCAGTCTGGAACAAAGCACAGCTAAAGGGGAACAGAAGAGCTCAAACACAATATGTTAGGTCCAATGGTCAGCCCAATAATACATCATCCAAAACGAAAGAAAACAAACCAAAACCAAACCGGTTTACAATCCAACTCAAAACACAAGAAAAAGATTAAAACCGTGGTGGGGTTGCCTCCCCACAAGATCTTCTTTACCGTCTTTTAGCTGGACGCCCATGGCGGAACTAAGGGTCCGCGAGTTCCACTGCCAACTCCGCATGTTCGACCTCGCCTCCCAAGTAGAGCTTGAGACGATGGCCATTTACTTTAAACAGTTCAGTCTGCGGGGTGGCAATTTCGATCGTGCCATATGGGAACACATGTGTGACCGTGAACGGTCCAGACCATCGGGAACGGAGTTTTCCGGGAAAGAGCTTCAGGCGAGAGTTATAAAGGAGAACTTGATCACCAACCTGGAACTCTTTCGGACCCCCGCAACCGTGCATCGTGCAGGCGCTTAGTGCGCTCCTTGTACAACTTGGTGTTCTCATAGGCGTGATAACGCCATTCCTCCAGCTCCAGCATCTGCATTTTGCGCTCAACACCTGCAACACTAACATCCAAGTTGAGCAGCTTAAGGGCCCAAAAGGCCTTGTGCTCTAGTTCCACGGGCAAATGGCATGCCTTTCCAAAGACAAGCCGGTATGGTGAAGTACCAATGGGCGTCTTGTAGGCAGTGCGGTATGCCCATAGAGCATCATCGAGCTTGGTGGACCAATCCTTGCGGGATTGATTCACCGTCTTCTCCAGGATACGCTTGAGCTCCCGGTTCGTCAGCTCCGCCTGGCCACTTGTTTGAGGGTGGTAGGCCACGGACACCTTATGAGTTACACCAGAGCGAGACAACAACTTATCGAACTGGCCCTGGAAATGGGTGCCTTGGTCGCTTATGATGGCTCTAGGTGTCCCAAACCGGAAGAATAGCTGCTTCAGAAAACCACAAACACGTCTAGAATCATTAGTGGGCAAAGCTTGCGCCTCAGCCCAGCTAGAGACGTAGTCAACAACAACAAGGATATAGGTATTACCAAAAGATGGAGGGAAGGGACCCATGAAGTCGATACCCCAGACATACAAAATCTCACAAGTTATAAACACATTCTGGGGCATCTCATCACGGGTAGAGATGTTACCTGACCTTTGGCATCGGTCGCACCTGCGTGCGAAGGTGTCTGCGTCCTTGAAGAGCGTGGGCCAGTAGAAGCCCGACTGTAGCACCTTCCTCGCTGTGCGGTTTCCTCCGTGGTGACCACCAGTAGGTCCTTCATGACAGTGAGATAGAATGCCCTCCATCTCACTCTCCATAACACAACGACGGATGAGCCCGTCGGCTCCGATCCTGAAGAGATGAGGATCATCCCAGAAGTAGTGCTTCAGGTCGGAGAAAAATTTCCTCTTGGTGTGAGTTGTCATCCCCTCGGGCAGCCGCTGGCCCACCAGATAGTTCGCAAAATCAGAGTACCAAGGGGTGACACTCTCCACCAAGTACATCATCATCAGTCTCTCATCCGGGAAGGAGTTGTTGATCTCCTCCTCGAGGTTGTCCGCAGGAGGTGCGTCCAACCGGGAGAGGTGATCGGCTGCAACATTCTCCGCTCCCTTCTTGTCCCGGATCTCGATGTCGAACTCCTGCAGTAGTAAGATCCATCGTATGAGCCTAGTCTTGGCATCGGCCTTGCTCATCAGGTATCGAATCGCGGAGTGATCTGTATACACGGCCCCATGGGACAAGACCAGATAAGAATGAAATTTATCGAAGGCAAACACCACTGCGAGCAGCTCCTTCTCCGTGGTGGTGTAGTTCTCCTGGGCATCATTTAGGGTCTTCGAGGCGTAGTAGATAGGTCGGAAGTGTTGATCTCACCTCTGCCCCAAGACAGCTCCAACAGCAAAGTCACTGGCATCGCACATCAGCTCAAATGGTAGGGACCAATCAGGAGCAACCATGATAGGAGCTTGGGTGAGCTTCTCCTTCAAGGTCGTGAATGCCGCTGTGCATGCATCAGTGAACTAGAAGGGGGCATCCATCTCAAGAAGCTTAGTCAGGGGCAGGGCAATCTTCGAAAAATCATTGATGAACCGCCTGTAGAACCCTGCATGGCCTAAAAAACTCTGGATCCCCTTAACAGATGTAGGAGGAGGCAGCTTGCTGATAGTCTCGATCTTTGCTCTGTCCACCTCAATCCCCATCTTGGAGATCTTATGCCCCAGAACTATGCCTTCGCGAACCATGAAGTGGCACTGCTCCCAACTCAGTGCCAGGTTCGTTTCTTCACACCGTTTAAGGACGAGTTCCAGGTTATGGAGACAGTGAGAGAATGAGTCTCCATAAACCGAGAAGTCTTCCATAAACACCTCCATAATCTCGCCGACCAGCCGGTCAAAGATGGCCAGCATGCATTGCTGAAAAGTGGCGGGGGCGTTACATAGCCCGAACGGGATCCTCCGGTAGGCAAATGTGCCGAAGGGACAGGTGAAAGTGGTCTTCGCCTGGTCCTCTGGTGCAATGGGGATCTGGAAGTACCCGGACATCCCATCCAGGAAGCAGTAGAACTCATGCCCTGCCAGTCTCTCCAGCATTTGGTCAATGAACGGCAGCGGAAAGTGGTCCTTCCGAGTGGCGTCGTTGAGACGCCGATAATCAATGCAGACACGGTACCCAGTCACCGTGCGCATCGGGATGAGCTCATTCTTCTTGTTAGGCACCACAGTCATCCCACCCTTTTTGGGTACCACCTGGGTGGGACTGACCCACTCGTTGTCGGAAATGGCGTAGATGATCCCCCCGCGTCCATCAGCTTCACGATCTCTGCCCGAACCACAACCTCTAGGTTCGGTGTCAGTCTTCTCTACGGCTGTCTCACTGGCCGCATCTCATCCTCCAGCAGTATCCGGTGGGAGCAAAAGGAGGGGCTGATCCCCCGATTATCTGTGATCTTCCATGCTAGGGCTCGCTCGTACCGCTGCAACAAGGCCACCAGCTTGTCCTTCTGCTCGGGCGTGAGGGTCGAGATGATGATGACTGGAAGCTTATTCCCCTCCTGGAGAAATGCATACTCCAAATGAGGAGGGAGGGGCTTAAGCTCCAGCTCTGGTGGTTCCTCCAAGGAGGTGGTGATGCGGGGTGAGGATGAGATCGGTTTGAACAGCCTGTCGCCCTCCAAGAATGGGCCACTCTCCAGCGCGGCCAACTGCTCCGCCAGCTGCGGCTCCTGCGATGCCTGCTCACCTAGCAAAATACAGCGCTCAAGAGCATCGTCAGTACCCGCACTCGTTATAGAGAGTGCGGTCTCAAAATCAGCAAGCACATCACATTAATCTACGTCATCATGCAAATGGGAGTGTTTCCCATTCTCAGACACAGAAAAAGTAGCCTATTCATCACCAGCACGCAGAATCAATTTACCACTATGCACATCAATAAGCGCCTTGGCGGTGGCGAGAAACAGTCTACCCAAAATCAAAGGTACATCCACATGCTCATTTATATCCAAAATAACAAAGTCAACAGGATATGTGAATGCACCCACATTAACAAGCAAATCCTCAATGATACCCCTAGGATGCACGATGGAACGATAAGCTAACTGAATGCTCATCCTAGTAGCTCTAGGTTCACCTAGGTCTAGCTTTTTAAACAATTTGTAGGGCATGACATTTATGCTAGCGCTTAGGCCCGCCAAGGACTTTCCTACATGCATGCTGCCAATAACAAGAGGGATAGTGAAACTCCCTGGGTCTTTACGCTTCTCGGGCAGCTTGTTCTGTAGGATGGCAGAACACTCATCGCTCAGCATCACTGTCGAAAGATCCCCAAGATTCTTCTTGTTGGTGAGGAGGTCCTTCATGAACTTGGCGTACTTGGGCATCTTCGACAGTGCCTCCACGAACGGCATGCTGATGTTGACCTGCTTCAACATTGCTATGAATTTGGCAAACTCAGTCTCTAGCCTGTCTTTATGTAGGCGAGTGGGGAAAGGAAGCTGGGGTACATGCTCCTTAACCATTGGCTGTGGCTTGGGAGCAGGTGCTTCTTTGTCTCCCCCCACTTCTGCATTATCAGCTGGAAGTGTTGAAGCAGG